TTGTTGTCTAGTTTCTAGCACAAATATCTTAGGAGACTTGAAATAAGTCCAAATTAACTTATAAAGAAAATCTTATTATATATATATATATTTTTTTTTTCAATTAAAATAGTTTGTTCTTAGTTTGTTGTTGAGTTTTAAAAACTCACATTTAGGTTTTTAATGATTAAAATGTAGTATATTTAGTCCAAATATCCAAGTACACATTTTAAATAAGATTTAAAATTAAATTATAAGCAACTTTTCAGCAAGATATAATAGCTTCTTTAAGTAAATAATTCCTTAATATTGAAGAAAAAGTTTTAGCTCCACTGCCAGATTCTATCATTTGTAAGATAGGGAAATGTCTAAGTGATAATAGCAATTTTTCTTCAATATTAAGGAACTATTTACTCAAAACAAGCTCCTGAAAAGTTACTTGTTAGATACTTATTTCAAATGTGTACTAAGATATTTTCAATAAAAACTAGACCAAAAACAATTTGTGTATCAACAAAACTTGCATTTTAACCAGTTTTAACCAATTTTTTAAAGATATCAACATTTTCAGATATCGCACTGCAAAAACTTTTAAGTATTTTTGGTCTAGTCTCTAGTGCAAATCTCTTAGAGTACACATTTGTCTTTAAAAGACAAAATGAACTTACAAGTAACTTTTAAGCACGATAGAGGGGCTTATTTTAAGTAAATAATTCCTTAATATTGATGGAAGAGTATTATATTTTATAAGTATCAATCTCACATGTTAAGTTAGTTTTGTCCTATCAAGTATGCGTAAAATCCTGCGTATTTTCAGTATGTTAATTATGCGATTTTGAGTGTATCTGTGGCATTAGTTGTTTTGTTTTGCTGTTTGCTGCGTGGCGGGGATGGTTCCTGGGTCGGTGGTGGGTTTTCACTGTCCAGTTGGGGGGATCGGTGAGTGAATGCTTCATCAGCAGGAACAAACGTCTCGTTGTTCTCTCTGTCCCTGCAGCGGGAGCAGCAGGATAAAGCATCAGAAATGGGACACCGCTTCCCAAGGAGAGCAGGTAGGCCGCTGCATTGATCACTGATGCTGATGCTTGGAGCGGCGAACACACGGTCACAGATCACAGAGAAATCAGCCCGGCTCGTATCTTCAGAGGCGAAACTCTCCCTTCACTGCAAAAACACAAAATATTACCGGCTACTTATGGTCCTACTGCAAATATCTTGAAATAAGACTAAACAAACTTACTATAGTAGTAACTTTTCTGCAAAATAAAGACTTTTTTAAGTCAATAATTTATTTGATGAAAATGCGCTGGCTTCCTTGTATCATGGGAAAAAAGTCTTGTAATAAGTGTTACTAGCATTTTCGCATGAAAGACTTTTAAGCAAAATATAGGACAATAATTCCTTAATATTGAGGAAAAAGTACAAGTTCCACTGGCCGATACTTTCACTTTTAACAAAACAAGTGAAACAATCTGCCAGTTGAACAAATACTTTTCCATCAATATTAATAAATCATTAACTCAAAACAAGCTAATTTTTCCTGCTGAAAAGCAGTTAGTTTTAGTCTCTTTCCAAGGGTTCTGACATATTTGTTCTAGAAGCCAGACAAAAATCCTTGCTAAAATTTTGTGTTTTTGTAGCAGCGTTCGCTGACACATGAGCTGTTTTAAATAACAATCAATCAATAAACCAACAATACCTATCACAACAGACATGTGATCAGTATCAATAAATAATAGATCTGAAAGGACATATTCACTGAACTCCGATCCAAACCTCACCTCACTCTCTCTCTCTGGTTACTTAGCAACTGAGTCACTGAGTTAGCTTGCGCAGCAGCAGTTTAATGTTTCGCCACCATTCTTCATAACTGCTTTAAAAAACCAGCGTGGAGTGAAAACTGAGGATAGACAGGAAAGGTAACGTCACCAGTTTGACAGTATTTCAGATATTTAAAACTAAATAACTGATCAATAATTATCAATGCCGACTGATATGAAACGCTTATATCATGATACATTTTTCAGCCCTAAAATACACATAAGAATGCGAATCATAAACACTCGGCTAAGGTGACACAATATTTAGAGGTTAAAGGTTACAAAACTGTTTTTTCCATATTTGTTAAAACTGCCACTATGTCATCACAGTATGAAACTGATAAAACAAGATTAATCCGCTATGCGTTCTTTCTAAGCAGTCTGAGAAATGTGCTGCTCCAGGTTATAAACAAGCAATCAGAGGCAGGAGGAGAGTCTTAGCGCTGCCAATCAAGCTTGTGTATCCTGCGTAATGTGCTAATGGCAGAAAAACAAGTTACTTTTACCAGGAAGCTGTTTTTCTGTTTATGACATGCTAACTAGTGTTAGCATTCGTGTTAGGCTATGTTGTAGGTGACCAGCTTTAGCTTAGCAAAGAGCAAGGCGTGTACACAAGCATGATTCACATTGTTCAGACTGGACTCTGATTGGCCAATTCTGAATGAGTGCTGTATTTCAGCAGTTACTACTGGGAGCTCTGGGAAATTATTTCACTGGTAACATGGGATAATGCCCTATTGTAAAGGAAATTATCTGGTACCTTATTCTTAGTAATATTAAAGAATTGTTTACTCCTATTTCTTGCTGAAAAGTTCCTTGAAAATTTAGAAACATGTACATTTTATTAAATTTAGATTTTTTTCAGTAAACTCAAAAAAAAACTTCTTACATTAAACTTGTGAAAAGTAGAAGCAGCTTTAAAATGTGCTCTCATTTTATATTTAAATCATTTTATAGCAATTCCTATCACTAAAAGGAAACATGGCCATGTCCAGTACTTTTCCATCAATATTAAGAAATTATTTATGTGAAACAAGCTCACATTTGTTGAAGAAAAGTTACTTGTAAGTTAGTTTTATCTTATTTCAAGTGTACTAAGATATTTGCAGTATAATTAGACCAAAAATAGTGTGTTGGATTTGATGGTTTTTGCAGTGCGGTGACATTTGCTCCTCAGCGGTAGACATGTCAGCGCGTCCCAGCAGGAATATTCAGTAGCTACTCTGTTGTCTCGCTCTTCCTCCGCCCGAGCCGCTATCTGGTCTCCCTTTTGTTTGACCTCCCTTCGGTACCAGGAGGCGTGAGAATCCGGTCCAAGCCATGGGAGCTCCTTCATGAACAATGCAATTAGCAGCAACGGGTCATAGGTCAAAAGCTCTTCTGGATCTCTGAGCCGAACTGTGTGTTCTGTTTCCAGACCTCTGATGCTGATCAGTGATTAATAATTCGTGGTCACGCTCCCACCGCGGCCCCCTGCCATCTGCTTTGTACGAGCTCATCGAGATGAAAGACCAGTTTTAGGGCTCAGGTATCGAGGGAAGCTCAAACTGTTGGAACAAGGCTGTCGACGAAAGCTGAAAATCTTTCCAAAACAAATCTGATGATGATTTCGATTCCAATTTTGACACATTTCATACTCAATTATGAAATCAATGGCAATTCTGAAAGAACGATTCCCTGCAACTGAAAACATGTCATGATTCGAAATTTCAGATGATCAGACACCTGATTATGCATCAAAATGGAGAGCGAGGCTCAGATGACCTGGATGAAAAAGAGAATCATCAACAAAGACTTCTCCTTCTTTTAAGGCTTTTTTTCTCCTGTTCTGCTTTTGTGTCGCTTTTATTCTGCAACATATTTCAAACAGGAACATTTCCCCAAATGTAAAAAAGTAGAGGAGCTATTTTAATCGCAAGGCGGAAACAATTAATCAAATTAATCCATTATTAAAATGATTGTCCACTAATCTAGTGATCAATTGATTGTTAACTGAAGTGTACAGACTCTGAAATAGGCCATTTGCTGTAAGGACACATTTAGAGCAGTAATTAAGCCAAAACTGTACAAAAGTTACAGTTAAATAACACTGGACATGTATTTTTCTGCACTGAGATACCGTATTGTAAAAGGTCTACATGTCTGTCATAATAACACATTTTGACAGACAATAAATTGTCCCACAAATTATTGTAATAAATGATTATATTGTTGTTTTGAGACCATTTTCAAGTAATATAATGACAATGGCATTCTTTAAATTAAATTAACATTTAAAACTGGAACTGGAAGACATTTTAAATGTACAAAATATATCAATAAAATAATAGAAATGACAGATAAAATGAATTATGAAGACAACAAAATTATCCTTAAAAGAAATTCAGGTTGAGACCAAAACATCAGACTGAAGACTTTTATTATCCAGTTTCTGGTAAAAAGAGAGAAAAGAGAAACAATAAATTATACAAATGGAAATTTCTGAGCTCGTTTCAATTAATTATTCTTATTGCGACAGGCCTAGTGTAAATTATTCAGTAGGTCTTAATTTTAATGTGTGTTTTAGCCAGCACTGTCCACACAGTTCAACTTTTTAAGGAATAAAAGAAAAAAAAATAGTTCAATTGAAAGTTGCTTTAACACTTAATGACTCAGTTTCTCTCCTTCCAGATTCTCCACTCAGCCACTTCTGCTTTAGAAACAAACACTTCAGCCTCCAGGCGATCACTGGTTAGTGGGACTGTTGCATCCAACCTGACGTCTGCCAGGACAGAGAGGACAAAAAACGACTTGAGGAGCCGAAGCGTTGACCAATCATCTGTACCGTTGATGAGTCAATCATCCTCATCTGGCAGCCAAGATGTGGAGAGTGATACAGAAAATAACCCCCATCCATCCCTTCAGTCAGTAACTGAGACTAAACCCCCAACCAACGGTCAATTACCGGCCAGCACTGCCTCACCTAATTGGTCACCAACTAAGACGGCAGAACTAAACAATCCCAAACCAATTTGTCAACCAATCAACCACCAACAACTAGTCAATCAACAAAAATTATTACACCAACCAAACAATCTTTAACTGAGAACAGATTATCAAACCAATTCCAGGCCAAATCTGGACCGCTTACTGCTGTGACTACACAGTTTAACCAGTCAGACTTTAGCCCAGTGCCACACACTCAGCAAAGGTTCGCAACAGCATCAATGAACCAAACACCTGACCCAGTCCAATCCCAACCTAAACCAACGACCAATCAGTCCCAAGACATTAAACAAGCCAGTCAATCAGGACACAGCACACAGAATATCAATCACTCATCAAGCAGCACAGTTTCAGCTGGTCTATCCTCAACAACAACTCGAGTCAGCCCAGAACCGCCGTTCAAACAACAGTCAACAGCAATATCAACCAACCAAGCAACAGAGACAACTCAGTCAGGCAAAACCCAAACCAATCTATCTTCACATTTCCAATCTCAAACAACCAGCCAGTCAACAATAAGTACTGGACTGACCAGTCAATCATCAGGCATAGCAACAGAAACTAGTAAATCAACAAAAAGTACAACTTTGTCTGCTGACACCTCAACCAAGATTGTGAAAATCAGCCAAACACAGATCAACGTCGTGCATTCAACCCAAAAACCAACAACCACAGAATCTACCAGTCAATCAACTACAGAAGCATCAAGCCATTCAGACGCCAGCCCAGTAACAAAGACCAAACAACAGTTAACAGCAACATCAACTAGCCAAACAACAGAGACAACTCAGTCAGACGAAACCCAAGCTGATCTAGTTTCACGTATCCAATCTCAAACAACCAGCCAGTCAACAGTAAATATGGGGCTGACCAGTCAATCATCAGGCATAGCAACAGAAATAAATAAATCAACAAGCAGCGCAGCTAAGACTGTGAAAACCAGCAAATCAGATGTCAACGTCATGCCATTCACCCAAAAGCCATCGACCACAACATCTATCAGACAATCAACTATAGAACCATCTAGCCCACCATCAACTACCAAAGTGACTTCCAAACCAATCAGTCCCATCTCAAAGACACAAAACAACAAATCAGCAACTTCCAGAGAACCAGAAAACCAGTTGTCAACCAACATTGCAACGGCCAATAAGGAAATAAGACCTACTAGACCAACGCCAAGCATCACCTCATCAGAAAACCAGTCCCTAAATAGACTAACACAAACCACTCAGTCTTCAACCACATTGGCAATGTCCAAATCATCTGGAAGTCTAGAACCAACCAAACCAACAGATCCCGAACAGTCCCAATTACAATACACTCCTACCGCACCAGTTCAACCTGCAAGAAAGACAAAACACCCCATCCAACAAGTAAAGAGTACAACATCAGCCAGAAAGTCATCCGAAAAACAAATAAATGCTAAAGCACCATCCAGAAAATCTTCATCTAAAAAGACAGGATCAAACCATTCACCAATAATCACAGCAAAATCTGGACAATCACTGGAAGGAACAGACCCCTTGAGCCAATCACCAGTCAGTAGATCACCTCCCAGGATCTCATATCCAGATGGCAGCACAACAAAATCAGTTCAGCTGTCATCCAGCCGAACATCACCGAGTCCCTCGGCTACTTCATCACAACCAATGAGTCAGTCTGATCTCACGACATTTTCTAACCAATCTCCAGCTACTTCAGCTCCAGCTGATCAGTCAGTGACAACTTCAGTGGCTTTAGCATACACATCTCACAACCGGAGGTCGAATAATCAAACTCTGGTGAAGTTGGTAAACTCAGACCAGTCACTGAATGGGTCTTTACTGCGAAACCAATTGGCAACTGGTTCAACAACGGCAGGAAACCCAATCAGGGGCTCCTTTTCACCAGATGATCGGCCGGTTAATGACTCGCAGCTCACCAGGCAGGCAAAAGAGACTCTAAAGTCTTCGAAACGCAGAATACCAGGTGAGGTTTAAAAGAAAGAATGATTGAATATTTCTAAAGTGCCTGAACTGAACCAGTTTCGCTGGTTTTCTTCAGACATTTGATCATTTATCAGGTGTCTTTGATGCCAAATATGTTTATTAAATATTTATTAAAACCATCTAACATAACTCTGAGACAACATATGAGACAAATAATCTGTGAAAAAATCTATATCCTCCACCGTCTCCCTGCCTTCTAAAGAAATGCAGAAGGCAGGGACCCAAAAACAAGGACCAGGATATTACCGCTGTCAGTCAATCTGGTGTATGCGTTGCTAAATGTGCTAATAGTAGAGAAACAAGTCATTGTTATGAAGAAACCACTTATGTGCCATCACTGGTGGCCATGTTAACTAGCATTAGCATTCATGACAGGGTCTGCTCCCAGAGAGGAAGGTGGAGGGGAAGGCAGATGAGCAGCGCTGCATGGAGCATGATCAATAGTGCTAAGACCCTCCTCCTTTCTCTGATTGGTTGTTTCTAACCAATCAGAGCTTGATTTTTGTCATAGATTATCTGTTTCATACTGTCAGGACAAGACAGTTTCAAAGAAATATAGAAAAGTAATAAGTAGTTGTTTCCAACTTTTGTGGAAAATACAGATTGACTCATAAAGTTACATCAAGCGGTTTTCCATATTTAGATTTTCAAACCAAAACAACTCCCAATGACCTCCTACTATTTACTATTTATGTAAGTTTTTTACAGCCGAGTATAAACATAAAGTTACTTAGAGCATGTAAAAAGTCTCTCAGATTGGTTTGAGTTGATGTGTAGCCAATTTGGAAGGACCGTCATGGCTCCCATTTTGCCTCAAAGGCAGAAATGGATGTCATCTCTTTTTATGACAAATGACACTGCCCCTGCTGGTGATCAGATAGAATGCAAGAGAAATGCAGTTCCTTCAGTTCTCTTCATTTTGTTTTACTTTTTTCTTATTCTCCTTTAAAAAATTTTCAAAATTTTTTGAATACAGATGTTTATTGCCATTGATATAATCAAACTGTGGCCAGTTTTATGGTTTGTGATGAAGGTCCATTTTAATGTTTTGTTTCTGTGAAGACTTTTTATTATTATTTAAAGACTCTCTGGTGTCGATGAACAATTTATCAAGCTTGTGCAATCTCCACTGTCCCTTTTACCAACATGTGCTTTTGTGCATGATGCGCTTGACTGGCCAGAGAAACCTAAAGCCCACCTAGCAGCTGCCATTAATGCAAGTTGAGGGAACCAACGTTGGTGGTCAATTTAAGCAAATTATTAAAATAGGTAATCTGTTACCGCCACAGCACACATATAGCTGAATCTAGAATGCTGAAATAAATGAAGGAGAAATAGTCCTTTTTAAATGTTTCAGTTCCAACTGGCTGCCTGGTAATTACTGGTTTTACTGGTTTCTCTCAGGGGAGCCGTGTGAGCATCCCTGCCTTAATGGAGGACAGTGCTATTTGTCTGAGTCATGTGACTGCAGCTTGTTTCAGGCCACTGGACACAGATGTCAGACAGGTAACTTCACAAAATGACTCCAAATTCACATAAATTCATCTTAAAACAGAAAATTAGTCAGTTTGCTTTGTCTTTTCTCCGTTTCATAGCAAATACTCACATAAATCCCTCAGTTTAAACTCATAAATTTAGCATATTTTCACTTTTTCAGTTTTATGATATTATCAAAATGTCATCTGCAAAAGTGATTTTTCTCACTGCTTTGCTCGTGGGACTTTGTCTTTAAAAATATGTGGTAATATTAACGTTGAAACAAAATATTTATTTTTGCTTTGTTTTTAACATCAAGAAGAAAGTAGATATGTTTACAATAAAAAATGCAATAATTAACACAAACAAGAATTAGTTGCACAAAAAATTATTTACAAACTTAGCATCGATGCATAAGCCACACATTTATTTATTTTTTTATCAGAATTTAGCTCAGTTAAAGAATCTTATAAATGGATATTAACTCTACTTATTTCTATGGCATTAAATTTTCTACATTAAAATTGCACAATATGGGATATTCCAATAGGACAATAATCAAAAACACAAACATTTTCTAGAATTGATGCTAATGCTAACCTTTAGCATCCAGAATGTCCTGACAACACAGCAAAAACTGAATCTTGCCAAGTATATCTTGCCAAATATCTTAATACACTAGAAATCAGACAAAACTAACTTACAAGTAACTTTTTAGCACAATATTGGAGCTTGCTTTAAGTAAATAATCCTTTAAGGTTTAAGGTCCTTTAAGGCAGACATACATGAATGATTAGTTATTGATCTATTTGTGTTCAGCAGCCATCAAAATGCTTTGATTAATCTGCTACCATTTTTCATTCTGGCAAATGCATCGTGATCATGTTGTTTTAATGATTGGAAACATTTCAACAGATATTTTCTTTTTTTTTTCGTTGCTTGCCCAGTTCCAAATCTCGGGTTTGAGAGGGAGATGACCTGCAGGACGTGGGGTCAGTACAACTTTGAGACCTTTGACGGTCTCTACTTCCACTTCCCTGGCCGATGCACATACACGCTGCGGGACTGCGAGGAAACCACCCAGGCCAGTTGTTGTCCAGGTTGGCTCACACTAAACAAATCCTCACAACTTTGACAAGCTCAGAAGTTTCTCTATTTACCCTCTTAGTATCAATCCCAGCCTAAGGAAAGTTTGTTCTTAAGTTCATTCAGAGGAGAATTAGAGTCAATTACCTTTAAATACTGCAATTTCCCAGAATGCCTTGAAGTACCTGAAACAGACCAGGGCTTTGTTTCCATGAAAAGGCAGGAGATACTTTATCTCTGCCTGGAAAAACCAGAACACACATTTTGATTACTGATTGATTTTTTTTTTCAATCAGAATTTTATCACAACGGAGAACATGAAGGCAAAACTTTAGATTCTATTTTCTTCCAGGTAAACAAACCAATGCTTTTCAAAGACGGACATAAAATTACAGACCGCTTAAAAGTTAAGTTTAATCTTAAAACGGTGGATTTTTCAAAATCCTTCAAATTTGTTTTAGTTTCTACACGTTACATTTTGCTGGAAACTAAATATTTAGCTTCCTAACTAAATGTTTTGTTTTGAGCTAAATCTTCAGTTTGAAGTTGAATATTTAGCTTGTAAACTAAATGTTTAGCTTGGTACCTAAATGTTTAGTTAGTCATTGCATGTTGTCAGGGGATCTTGTGCTCAGTCATGTAAAAAACAGAAAATTAAGTTTGGTTTTACAGTGAATATTTCAATGGCTTTGTGCACAATACTGCTTACTACTGCTGTTTAAAGGAGCAATAGGACGGTGTTTAGGTTTTTAAATAATGCTTGCAGCAGCATCGCAGTAGTTTCTAAAGCCAACCTGACAGCATTTATGTGATGAGACTTTTATGTCCCTGGATCTGGATTTGCAGGTCCATAATGACCCAAACTGCGGCTCGGCTCCCTACACCTGCCAGCGGTCCGTTAGCCTCTTCCTGCCGTGGGATGGCGAGATACGACTCTACGCCACCAGCGTTACCTTCAAAGGTCAAAGGTTAGAGACCTAATAATGCTTACAGTCCGTGTGCCTCACTTTACGTCTTTATATATGAAAATCTCTCTGTTTAGTCTGCAGCTTCCTCATCATATCCATGAGCTGCAGCTAGAGCAGATTTCCCAGTATGTGCTGGTGACGCAGCAGCAGGGCTTCACGCTGGCCTGGGAGGGGCGGAGCGGATCGGTCTACATTAAACTCAGCCCGGAGTTCGTGGGCCGAACCTGCGGCCTGTGTGGAAACTTCAACGCAGACATTCAGGACGACCTTAAGACGAGCTACGGTAAATAAAAACTTAAAGGTGACCAATTATGTTTTCTTGAAGCGGTTAGGATAGATTCAATCATTCTTAGGTAATGAAATTTTAGTCTAATTTTGGGCATCTTGTCACCTGAAATATCAATAAGCTGCTGTTTACCACGCCCCCAACTCAATGTTTACACTCGCATGTGAAAATGGTTGCAAACAGATGCTCAATTGAGGTTGAGTTGGGGTCGTGGTCAGCAGCAGCTTATTTTGATTTAAAGTGACAGAAGCTCTAAATTAGACTAAAATTTTATCGTCTAAGAACAACTTTGTTCAAAATTACAGACCCATCCTAACCTGTTTAAGGAAACATAATAGGTCACTTTTAACTTACTGCTACAAAGAATGGCTGAGTGAGTGTTTTCCTGCCTCTCAGGTGTGCTGACTCCAGACGTAGAGATGTTTGGGAACAGCTGGATGGAGATGGAGCCCCACCAGGACCCATGTCCCCATGTTCCCTCTGCGTTCCCGTCGCCCTGCACTGGTGTTGATACTCAAATCCTTCTGGTGAGACAGGAAAACAAGGAAGAATAATTCCCACATCCAACCCTGAAACAAAGTAAAGCCTGACGTATTTTACAGTTTCGTCTGGAGAAGTTTTCTGTTTGGTTTGTTTTGGCTGCAGAAAGTGGAGGAAGTTTGTGCGGCGCTGCTGGACCCGCCTTTCCAGAGCTGCCATGACTTTGTGAGTCCGCTGTCCTACATGGCCAGCTGCTCCAACGACCTCTGCATGTAAGAACAACTGATTGCAATCTCTACTCTTGATAGAGGTCCAGTTATTTTATCCTCCAGGAAACACAAGACTTTGACTATACCACAAGTGTCCAATATTTTTGTCACAAGGGCCAAAATCCCCAAGAAAGATAAGGAAAACCAAAATGCAGATTTTTTTTGGTTTTTGTTTTACCAGTTTGATCATTTTTAAATACAAATTAAAATTTTAAATACAAATTAAAATTTAACAATGGAGCATTTTTCTGTAAATTCTGAGAAATGAAAAGAAAATTTCTGTCATTTTAACATCAAAATAACTTAAAATAAATTAAAAGTATCTTTTCAGCAAGATATCAGAGCTTGTTTTAAGAAATAGGTAAATAATTTCTCAATATTGATAAAACGTTCTAGTTCCACTAGCATATTATTTCACTTATGCCAATTTCCCCATGTTACAAGTAAAATAATCCACCAGTGGAACTAACAATTTTGAAATTTAAAAATTTAAAAATGAAGAATTTCTAACATAAATCAAGCTCCTACATCTTGCTGAAAGGTTACTTACAAGTTAGTGTTTTTCTTATTTCAAGTGTACAAAGATATTTGCACTAAAAAGTGGACCAAAATTGTATGGTAGGGTTTTATATTTTCGCAGTTTGGTGTTGGAATAGATAAAATTGGTCAATACGGAGCATCTGAAATGGTTTCACTTCTTTAAAAAATATGTGGATTACACTTAAATTTCATTTTTTCAATTTTACTATGACATTTTTTAACTTTTTGCTGTTTTCTATAAGCATCCAACCCAGGGAATGCCTGTTTGTGTTATATTTACACCCATTTGTGTGTTTTTGAAATGCATTCAGCCCCGGGAATCTACCCCACAAACTCAGTGATTTGTCTTTTTGTTTACGGCAGCGCAGACTTTGGGTTGCTATTTTGAGTCGGATCAGCCCAGTGAACCGGGGTTGTGTAACCACACCTCTCCTGGCTCCGCTCGAACAGTCCTTTTCTGTCTTTTCACTCTGTTGAAGGTCGGATCCCAGTGGCGATGTGGTATGCCAGGTGTTCAGCGAATACGCTCGAGCCTGCGCCCATGCTGACCACCCACTGCACAACTGGAGGCAGCGCGTTCCTCAGTGTGGTACGCTTTCACTCACATTTAGTCAAGAAACAACAAAACTCTGCTAATTATGCTCTCAAGTGCAGCTTTGTAGCTAGCAAGATTTGACTTTCTGTCAAAATTACCAACCATCTGGGGCTGAAGCATGTGGTTGCCAAGTATAGCTTTTATTTAGTTGATTTCACATTAAAATGGTCACAAGACGCTCTGCGGTCAGCTGCACAAATAGACAAGAATGCAAACCAAACTTCTCATTTTATTTTTATAACTTTTGATGAGGAAAGACACGCAGTGGTGATAGTGGGCAGCCATCAGTGTAATCACGGATTTGAAACGAATACATTTTACAATGTTCATATAGTTTATAAATAAATATGATAACAGATCAAATCCTGCATTATAAAGAAGGTTCACATCTGACCATCAGTAATGGCGACAATAATGTGACACACTGAAATATTATCCGAATTTCAAAATTCTAATAGATTTTTTTTATTTTGTTACTATTGCACAGCTAAATTCAATTGCCATAACAACACTGCTATGAATCAACATGGCTAGAAAAGATTCTAATGAGAGTAGGCACATTACACAAATAGAGTAGTAGAGGAATGATAGACATCTGGTGTTGACATTTTGGTATGGGGGCCCCAAAATTTTAATCTCTCTAGGGCCCCAAAATGGCTTCTGCTGGCCCTGGGAATATGGGCGTTAAGGTTTATCACATTAATAAACTGACTATAAATGTCAGTTCATTATTATTGAATTGACAACGATAATAAGAGCGATTTACTATTACTTTTTTGTGGGTAGCTTTGGTTATTATGGCTGTGACTGCATGACACAACAATCATAGCTCAATAAATATTACTCTTGCGAAAATATGTAATATGCTTAATTCGGACACCAGTCATATACACAGAACTGTGATTTATATCACTAAACTGCACACAGTAACTGCATTTAATCCTGTTTTAAATTTATTAATGTTCTCAATAAAAAAAAACTGTGGGGCAAATTGTAAAATTAAAATGCTGAGGATATGGACATAGTGGGGGGAAGTAAAGGGATTAAATGTTATTAATTGGAATTTATTGTGACAACGTAAATCAAAATCAATATCAACCCCTATCTAGTAGTGATTTAGAAACATCTTATATCCCAATGAGGGCTTTTGTATGTTTTGTTTTTTTTTTTACCACCGATTCCGAATCCAAGTCGATTTTGATTATCCAAAACTTAAAAAAAGTACATAAAAAATAAGGGATAAGAAAAAGATCCACAAAGTAACTTATTTTTTTTATCCACCGTATTTATCATTTAGCAGGACACTGAGTCTGCGTGCATGAAATAAAAATGATTATTTTGGTTTCGGTTGTTAAAAACTTCCCATTGCTTCCCAACCGCCATTTAAAAGGGAACGATCGCTAGCATGTTTGCGCATGCGTGTTTACATCCTCTCTGCTCTACCACAGTGATGGTCGCGAAGATCGCGCGACCATCACTGCTCGCTGTAACGGCAGTTTTTTGGCTGTTTTATTGCTTAAATCTCCAATAAACCAGAAAACGTTTCTAGATTTGTGACTAGTCTTTTTTAATACAGTCGTTTGAGGGTTCGGAAATGTCGCTAAATTCGGCTAAGACGTAGCTAAGTTAGCAGCTGTGCTCCCACTTCAAGCCAATGCCGTATTTTGCTACACTTTTACGGCAGTCACTGCTGCAAAGTGCTGCGCATGTGATCTTTCCAGAGTCTGACTCCTTTCCACCACACAAAGGTCGATACTAGCTGTTGTTATTCTTATTGGGGTTTAATATAATTATATATATCAAACTGATTCCTGATCCGGATGTACGCCTCGATGTGACCACGATTTCCGATCACGTGATCGGATCGGGACATCGCTAGTTCTTAATGCCCTGCAGGTATTTTTTTTTTAAAGAAAAACACTTAGAGTCAGACCATTTGTGACTGTTTCAAGTAAAAATGTTTTAAAACTCTTTTTCTGTGACCAGTGAAGCAGTGTCCTCTGGGGCTGCAGTACAGGGAATGCATCAGCTGCTGCCCACAGACATGCAACCTGGAGCGGACTTGCATAGACAGCAAGCTGGCCTGCTTAGATGGATGCTACTGTCCTGAAGGTAAACTGTTGTATGTATTATTCAATGCAAGTTTTTCCGATGAATGTTTTTACAGTCACTTTTTATGTTTTTTTAATTCCCAAGTTTTCTGTGTCCCCAGGTCTGATTTATGAGGAAGGGAGTTGCGTGGCCCCGGTTGACTGTCCCTGTGAATACCATGGCATGTTTTATCCCTCTGGACAAACTCTGCAGGAAGAATGCAACAACTGGTGCGCATCAAATAACTTCTCCCTGCTGATTTGGTTTAAATAGTTCGGTTTTTACTGTTTCAAAGAATTTGTAAATCCTTTAACAACATTAGTTTCAATGTTGGACGATATGCCTAAAAAAACGTGTCACCATATTAGGGTTTCATATCAGTCCATACACTGCAAAAACATCAAATCTTACCCAGTATTTTTGGTCTAGTTTCTGGTGCAAATATCTTAGTACACTTGAAATAAGACAAAAGTATCTTAGAAGTAGCTTTTCAGCAACATAAAGGAGCTTGTTTTAAGTCAATAATTACTTAATATTGATGAAAAAGTTCTAGTTCTTCTGGCTGTTTCACTTATAATATGGGAAAAATGTCTTGTTACAGGTGAAAACTTATTTTATATAAATATTAAGGAATTAATGACTTAAACTCATATCTTGATGAAAAGTTACTTGTAACTTAGTTTGTCTTATTTCAAGTGTTCAAAAATATTTGCACTAAAAATTTGACAAAAACAATAGAAGGTAAGATTTTGTTTTTTGCAGAATATTGATAGTTATTGATTAGTTTTTTGTTTTAAATATCCAAAACGTTCCTGTTTTATCCACAGTTTTACTTCCAGACCGTAAACTGCTACTCAGCAGGTTGTTGCCAGGTAACCAGAAGTCACTCGCAATTTGTTGCTAGGTTACCAAAGAGTGAGTGAATGAGTTCAGCCGAGCTCAGCTGGCTTAGAGGTTGAGCAACTAAAGCCAGAAAACATGTGATCCAAGAAAAAAATAAATTAGTTCATTTGTTATAAGTTATCAAATTAAGTTTATTCAAGTAGATGTATTAAATTTGTTAAGTTAAAAAAAGTAAATGAATTCAATTTGACAAACTTAATTTGATTATATTTAACAAATAAGTCAATGTTTAAGTTGTACATTTTTATCTATGGGTTTAATTGTTTTATTCCTGCAAACAGAATCTGCTCTTTTGCTAACAGCTGCATTCGGTCCCTTTAATCTGCTGGGATCTGACCGCCTGTGTGTCCAGTTTCTGTCAGTAATCCTGCCATTAGCTCAGCCTTTCATGCAGCCACCTGTGGATTTCTCTGCTCTCTGTTGCAGCACATGTGTGGGTGGCGTGTGGAACTGCACCGACCACATCTGCCCAGGTTTATGCTTTTCCTCCAACTGCATGCAATAATGATTTTAAAAAAAATAATAAACGTCTTAACTGATTTTCATAGTTTGTAAATGCTTTACAGTAAGGCTGCAGCTAACAATCATTTTAGAGTCGAATATTCTTTTGATTATTCTGACGATTAATTGATTAAATTCAAATCATATAATTTTAGCAAGTATTTTTGATCTAGTTTCTAATGCAAATATCTTATTACACTTGACATAAGACTAAACAGACTTCAAAATAACTTTTCAACAAGATATAGGAGTGCGTTTTAAGAAAATAATTCCTTAGTATTGATTAAAAAGTACTGGTTCCTCTGCCAGATTATGTAACTTATAACTAGTTTTCTTTCGTCAAGGGAATTACTTTCTTAAAATAAACTCACATTGCTGAAAAATTACTTGTAAGTTAGTTTGGTTTTATTTCAAGTGTACTGAGATATTTGGGTTCTATTTTACAATAATTCTCTTCTTATAAATGCTAATAAGTATGTTAGTAATTAATCTCTAAGCATTTCACTGTGAAGGGGGAGAAGGAGGCAAAATCTGACAGTGTCTTGCCAAATAATGTATATTTTATTTAGAGTTGTTGCACTGACAACTCTAAATATGCTAAAATAGGTATTTTAGCATATAGCCTCTTTCTCAACCATACTTAATGGATAATAAACAGTTATTAATGATTTAAAAAGTGCTCCTATATGAATTCTAAGAACTTTTTATTAGTCATCCATCAGGAGAGTCTTACTGTCTATTTGCACCAGAAACTAGACAAAAATACTTAGTAAGATGTTGCATATGTTTTGCATAAGTTGAAAAATATGTTGCTTTTTTTCAGGGGAATGCTCGGTTACAGGCGATATGTACTTCCGGTCGTTTGACGGGAGGATCTTCACCTTCCCTGCGACATGTCAGTACGTCCTCGCCAAAAGTCGCAACTCAGGAAAATTCGCCATCACCATTCAGAACGCCCCCTGCGGAGCCGTGAGTCACTCCTAACCTGATATTTCTTTTGCTGTGTCTCCTGTTGGCTCAGGTTTCAATTTGTCCATAATGTAGATCATATCAGAATTTAAGTGCTCAATAATCCCGGCTGAGTCGAGGGTTTTGACTGCGACTGCGGGAGTAGATAATGAGCAAGAAAAGTGACAAAAGACGGAGGGTTTCTTCTCCTATCTCTCTGCTGGGAAACCCAGCAGAGGGAGAGGGAGAGGTGAGATATAAGATGTCCCAGTCATCAGAGCAGAGACCTCTAACAGCCAACAGGATTAGCTTATCTGGCCCGACTGACAGAGCCGTGGGAGACGGAGAGGCAGCAGCTCTGGACAGAGAGAAGCTTATGCAGGAGAAGCAGGAGGTGAATGATGGGAAGGGAAGGTAAAAGTGGGGAGGGAAGAGGTGGGCGCTAAAACCTCTCGGCTGTGGAGCCACTTTTGAAAGAAACGATTCATCTGTAAACATCAGAGTGAAGCAGCTTTTATCATTTAAATCAGCAGATTTTACATGAAAGGTGACCCGTTATGTTTCCTTAAACATGTTAGGAAAGGTTTATTTGCTATACAGAACATTTTTATTTAAAATATTTCATGTAATTATTCTTAAATAATGATTTTAGTCTGCTCAGTTCTATCTATGTTGAGAATGAGCCGTTCTAGGAGTGCTTGTCACTTTAAATCCAAATTTAAATGAAAATGGCTATAAACAGATACATACATCTGTGAGAAGCACTAGTAGAGCATCCTGCCCAACCAACAAGAATGCAGCAAGTGGTTTCTGGATGGTAGGTCAACACCAAAACACTGGTCTTTTCCAGCAGCCATTGTACAGCGCAGTAAGCATTAAAACCAGCTGACCAAACATGCTGGGTTGGTAGGTGACTAAGGTTATTTATAAATTAGCTTTGTCTGATTTCAAGCGCACTAAGATAGTTGGACCAGAAACTAGACCGAAAATTATTGCAAACGCCACAGTTTGCATGGACCCGATTCCAACAGCCGCAACCTGGATTTCTGTTTTATTCCAGAAGAAAAGAGTATTTATTGTTGGTAAATGTGTCAGTTTTCTATTAAAGATCCATACCCACACCATCTCCTTTTGTAGGACAGAGTTTTTCATCCTGACTACTTTTGTATTTTTGCTTTCTTTGTGTCTCCTGAATCTTCTTCTGTTTGGGAAAACGTCAATCTTGTCTCGATTGCAGAATCTAGACGGGGCCTGCATCCAATCAGTTAACCTGATCATTGACGAGGATCCAAGGACTGAGATCACACTGAGTCACGTCGGCGAGGTCTTCATCGCCGGCCAGTACCGAGTCTCGCTGCCCTATTCTGACGGTACTGTCCCTCGTCTTTCATCGCAGTCCGCCATTGTCTCGTCCAGGACTCTTTCAGCACTCATACGAGAGGCAGATTGAATGACAGCTGTGCTATTGAGGAAATATTTTCCCAATGCAGAGGTGTTCAGTTCCTGCATTGTGTGCAGAAAATGCCGTCCCCTCTGAGTGTTGCTCTCATCTTGGTAGTCAAATCAATGCTCTTTTGTCTGATTTATGTGAAACTGTGTGATACTTGATACGTCAATGAAAACATCAACTTTTATACTTTATGTTCTCGATAACATCCTCTGTCTGAGTAACCAAAAATTATAACTCCATTAGATTAATAAAAATAGATTTTTTTAATTTCATCAAATAAATACAAGAATAAATGACATATTGAAATTACAAAACGAATCGAGTTCAATACAGTTAAAGGAAACTCAGATTATTATTTTACTCAGGATGGAAAGATTTTTCCATGTAGTGAAGCTCAGAGAGTTACACTGCAAAACACAAAATCTTATGTTTGGTCTAGTTTCTGGTGCAACTATTTTAGTAAAACAGTACTAACTTAAATATAGCTTTTCAGCAAGATATTTTAAGTCAATAATTCCTTAATATTGATGAAAAAGTACAACCTTAGTTCCATAGGCAGATTATATTACTTATACGAAGAGAAAAATGTCTTATGTACTTACAACAAGTTGCTATATCTTTCTGAAAATGTACTTTTAAGTTAGTTTTGTCTTATTTCAAGTATACCAAGATTTTTGCACTTGAGACAAGACAAAAAATGCTTGGTAGGATTTTGTTTTTGCAGTGTAGCTTCTGATTTCAGTTGCCTGTAAGTCGGCAACAGTGGCATGATTACTGACCGCTCCAAAAGCAGGGCATTCTGGGTAAATACAAATGGTTCACAGTTTTTAGCCAAAAACAAAAGAGAAATCCTAAATTTTTTTTTACGTTTCATCATAGCGTTCAGTGTCTCCTTCAGAAGTTTTTGTCTCCAGCGCCACCACAGGTGAGGAGGGGAACAGGTTTGTAAATTAGATTGAATTGTTCGATGATGTGAAAGAACTGCCACAGCTGAAAATGTAATAAATGTTGCAGTTTTGTTTTGTAACTGAACTGAGTCTACCGGACTGTGAGGTCTGGAAACAGCCTTGATGTCCTCGTTCTTCTTCTCCCACAGACATCGTCCACATCCAGGAACTGTCGTCCATGTTCCTCCAGGTGAGGACGGCGTTCGGCCTGCATCTGCAGTACAGCTGGACGGAGTTTCGTCTCTACCTGCAGGCCGACGAGACGTGGAAAGACGACACGGTGGGGCTGTGCGGCACCTTCAACGGCAACACTCAAGATGACTTCCTGTAAGTGTGTGACGGCTGCCCTTTGACCCCTCTTGCGCCCTCTGCTGACCTTTCCCTCCTCCCCTTTCGACGATTAAGAGCGATGGAGCGCACACTCCTGTTTCAGGTGACAGGAGGGAGGTGAAGTGCTCTTCCCCTCTGTAATGCACACGAGTCGGCATCAAAAGACGCGCTCTCTGATCAGCTCTTTTAGGCCGACCAGATTAGCGCCCGACTGGGCACGCCGCTCCAACAAGGAATTTACTGTTAGTGGAAAAGGGGCTCCACTGTGCCGACCATAATGTGCCGGATGTTGTCTGACAGCTTTAAGTGGATATACATCACCGCTGATGGCTGAAGTGGCAGTCATAGGGAAACTGCAGCCATCCCTTTACATTAAATAGCTGTTTAATGTACCTGCCTTTTCGATGCATTTTGAAGTGCAATGGTTTGAATTGGTTTTTTTTATTATTATTAATTATTACCAAGATATGTAGAATAACAAACATTGTAAAGTGTCGATTTAATTTTATTGTGCTGGTACGTGGTTGTGAAGATGGTTTCATTAGCATAAGGAAATCATGACTTATATGGCCGAATTAGTTGTTTTTGTTGCCACCTGCCTCTGCTAATCTCATTTTAAACAGAAAAATGCCATGAATTATGGGAAAATGGGACGTAGTGTTGCTAGTATCACTGTCGTATGGCTGACATCAGAAAAGGGTCAGAACTTTTAACACAGACGTCAAATTTTATTCAGCTGAAAGTTTATAAAACTGCTTAGTAGATTTGATCAGTAACAATATATATTGCGATAAACACTTAATCAATATCTATAGAAAATACATATGATAGAATATTCAATATATAGAATTGGAACTCCGATATAGAACCGCTTGGCATTCTGGGACATGTAGGCAGAGGAAAGGCTTTAATACTTTACTAATATTTTAATTTTACTGTAATATTACTTTATTTATTTATTACACAAATTTATATTTTATTTATGTAATACATTTCTTTTCTGGGACCTGGAATGACAATAATAAATCCTTCAATCCTTTAATACTTTAGTTCAGTTAGTTTGGTGGCAACAACTAACTCTGTTATTCTTTGGTTACCTAGCAACTCATTCACTCTTTGGTTACCTAGCAACTCATTCACTCTTTGGTTACCTAGCAACTCATTCACTCTTTGGTTACCTAGCAACTCATTCACTCTTTGGTTACCGAGCAACAACTTGCTGAGGAACTGGCGCTGCAGCAGTTTAATGTTTCATCACTGATTCTTAACTGCCTGAAAATTTAAACAATGGGATGGAATGAACACTGGATACAACAGGAAACAATCTGGCAGTATTTCAGATATATAAATCAAAAAAATAATCAATAATTATCAGAATCCACTGATTAGAAATACCGATGTTGTGGTGCATTTTTTTATTATCCAGCCCTGGCACTATGTTCAGGGGAAGCTAAATGCTAAATATTTTCAAAGTTAGCAAAAATACTAATGCGCTAAATGGGAACTGCACTGCAAAAACACAAATTCTTACCCATTATTTTTTGTCAAGTTTTTAGTTTAAATATCTTGGTGCACTTTAAAAAAAATAAATAACTTATAAGTAAGTTTTCAAAAAGATACAGGAGGTTTTATAAAATTAATAATTCCTTGCTACTGGTTCCACTGGTAGATTTTTATACTTGTAACATGAAAAAATGTCAGAAGTGAAATAATTTCCCAGTGGAACTGGGATGTTGTTTTTTTAAATCAATATAAATCAATATTATGCTGTGAAGATCCCAGATGATTGTTTTAATGTCTGATGATGCTCCATGATGAGGCTGTGATTTCCTGCAGATCTCCATCAGGAATGATTGAGAGCACCCCTCACCTGTTTGGAAATGCCTGGAAGGTGTCGTCAGCCTGTTCCCTCAGCCTGAGCACGCCGCCGCTCGACCCCTGTGACACCCACCAACAGGCCGGTTCGTTTCTCTAATTCATGTTTCTGTCGACCAAACAGGTTAATCGTGCTAAATATCTGATTCTGTTCCAGCTTTGACCCATTTTTAGGGGATACTTACATTTCCCATCAGAGGTTTTGCTGATTTTCTTAAAACATTGTTGTGATGGAATTTGTACCATTTTAAAATGCAATATAATTTCACACAAGTTGTTCTGGGTCTTCCAACAAACTGAAATGCAGGAACTTATCTAATACTCTGGGATGAAATAAAATGCAGTTAGTTTGTGTTTATATCTATTTATTGATTGTGCGCCCCTGAAATGTCGCCCTGGGTAACTGCCTGTATGCCTCATATCTTAAACCAGCTCTAATCAGAGTCATTTCTTTTCAGAAAAGTTAATCTGTAAAAGGATAAACATTGGTGATTTGAGTCTGTTGTCATGGAAATTAAACACTGAGTGAAGTTTAGTAAAGCTAGCTGTGATAAGCTAGTGTTGCTAAAACTGTGTGTATTTGCATTTAACCTCAAGCTCCCTACTTCAACTCTGAGACTAACTAAAGGCGCCCAACATTTTTAAATCAAGCGAATTTTATAATAGACTCCGGTTTAAACTCTTTTGTGATTTCACTGGATTATTTAGTATTATCTGCAAAACTTACACAAATGTATGATTTAACGAAGTGCTCAACTTTCCTCATTTTACCTTTTGTTGTTTTTTATAAAATTACTACTTTGTTCTCATATTATTTTTACTATATTCCCGTAATAAAAATTTAGAAATTTTAGTTTGTTCCTGATTTTCCATCATAGAGATGACCTGAATTCAAGGTCCAGAAAAGTAGAAGTTGTCAAACAAGATGGCCGCCCTGGGCGTGCTGACATCACTCTGCGCAAGGAGAGGATTGGTGGGGAAAAAAAATCCAGATTTTTCAAAACTTAAATCTTCGAAAACTACAACTTTATGTATTGAGTTACATACTGTAATAATTCAACAACGTTTCCAGATCTGAACCTTAAAACTCGATACTGGAAAGTTTAAAAACGGGAAATGTAGTGATGTGATGAAGACCTCGTTCCTGTGTTTCCCCCCGGCGCTCAGTGAGCTACGCCTCGGAGATGTGTGACATCCTGAACCAGGATCTGTTCGCCGCCTGTCATGAGTACCTCAGCCCAACTTCGTTCCACCTGCAGTGCCGCGCAGACACCTGCAGGTGTGGCACGCCCTGCCTCTGCTCCGCCCTGGCTCACTACGCGCGGCACTGCCGCAGGTTCTCCATCGTCGTCGACTTCCGAGCGCACATATCGGACTGTGGTGAGGATCCAGGGAAAAGATCATTCATTTCTGCTTTTCTTACTTTCACAATAAAACTAACTTTATTATGAAACTTGGTCCTGTCCCAGCTGTCACCTGTCCTGCCACCATGCAGTATGGCACCTGTGTGTCGGCCTGCCAGCGGCGCTGCTCCTCCCTGGCCGCCCCGCAGCACTGCGGGGGCGACTGCGAGGAGGGCTGCGTCTGCCCCCAGGGCTCCTTCTACAACCACCGGACACACACCTGTGTGCACAGGTAAGGCCGTCAGGTCTGCTCAGTTCTCCAGAATGAGAGAACTTGACTCTTCCAGTAGCCTTTGCTTATAGAGGTAAAACCATCGGACCGAACTTTCTGCTGGAGTTCTGCTCGGGTTGCTAGGTAACGGGCTGGGCTTAGCTGGGGTTGCTAGGTAACGGGCTGGGCTTAGCTGGGGTTGCTAGGTAACGGGCTGGGCTTAGCTGGGGTTGCTAGGTAACGGGCTGGGCTTAGCTGGGGTTGCTAGGTAACGGGCTGGGCTTAGCTGGGGTTGCTAGGTAGCGGGCTGGGCTTAGCTGGGGTTGCTAGGTAGCGGGCTGGGCTTAGCTGGGGTTGCTAGGTAACGGGCTGGGCTTAGCTGGGGTTGCTAGGTAACGGGCTGGGCTTAGCTGGGGTTGCTAGGTAGCGGGCTGGGCTTAGCTGGGGTTGCTAGGTAACGGGCTGGGCTTAGCTGGGGTTGCTAGGTAACGGGCTGGGCTTAGCTGGGGTTGCTAGGTAGCGGGCTGGGCTTAGCTGGGGTTGCTAGGTAGCGGGCTGGGCTTAGCTGGGGTTGCTAGGTAACGGGCTGGGCTTAGCTGGGGTTGCTAGGTAACGGGCTGGGCTTAGCTGGGGTTGCTAGGTAACGGGCTGGGCTTAGCTGGGGTTGCTAGGTAACGGGCTGGGCTTAGCTGGGGTTGCTAGGTAACGGGCTGGGCTTAGCTGGGGTTGCTAGGTAGCGGACTGGGCTTAGCTCGGGTTGCTAGGTAGCGGGCTGGGCTTAGCTGGGGTTGCTAGGTAGCGGGCTGGGCTTAGCTGGGGTTGCTAGGTAACGGCGGAGTGCCTGTGGAATGTGACTCAGCGATTGTGAGGTTTTTGAAATGGCTCCAAAAACATGAACTTGTTTTTTTTTTTAAAAAACAAGTTCAAAATTCAGTGTTTTTTTACATATTCCATCTGCATTAGACATAAAAATAAGATTTCTTGTTTTTGCAGTGTATTTATTCAGTTTTAGCTTTTCCTGCAGTTCCTACAGTCATTACAGTCACTTGTCTGTCTAATAGTGTACTACGATATTTTTATTTGGTGTGAGTTAGTATTTTTGTTGTTTGACTTGGTCTATATGCCTTTCTGATCTGTTTTGCTGAAAAATTGTCTGGGTGTCGACTGAGGAGTTTGAACCTCCGCCTTCGTGTTGGCTGCTGGAGCAGCTCCAGCGTTTTCCATGCAGACGGCTGCTGAGCTGGAAGCTCTCCACCAAACAAACCGTCTCAGAGTGATATTTGTATCTGCTCTGGATCTGGGGTCAGCCCTTAAGTGGAAAGCCTTGTTGAGCGCGAGGACCCCCATAATTGAGCCCTGGCTTTCAGCGCGCTCCGCCCTGGAAAACTTGCAGCCTAATTCCTCTTAAATGTCCCGGGTTTTTACATCCCACTGCAGCGCAGTGCCTTACTTAGCATGTGATAGAGTTACACCCAGGAATCCACCCTGAAACCCCCTTTTCATTCCCGCTCGGGCCGGGACGACACAGATATCTGATAACCAGTGAGAAAGAGTTTGTAGTACAGAGGCTGATTTGACTTTAAACTGGATACATTTTAACTTAATGTATGGTTTACATTACGTTAAACTGTAACATTACGTTTATTAGTTTCTTTTTTATGGAGGTTTTCTCATTGATCAAACATTTCCTGATTCTAAGCCCTCTTCACTTACAGTTAATGGTTTGTTTAGGGAAACATAAACTCACTATAACATAACTCTTCACACATTTAGGTAGACTCATCGTGTCGGTAGCAGATTTTTTTTTATGCAATTCTTGTTTTACTATAGTATTAGGGGCATAGTAGGAACCATAAGAAACAAAAAAGTAAAATTAAGAGAGTACAGTCATAAAATTACAAGAATTATTTAAAAATCCTTGTAATTATTTAAACATTTATTTTGGACCTAATGCTCTGTTGGTTTTTCTTGTATTATTATGTTTTTTTTTTTTTGTTCTATTTTCCAGAATTTGCTTAAAGCTACAAATTCCTACAAGTTGCTTTTATTACTTTCTTTATTTTTCCACTTCAAAAAATGCTAAATCTTACCAAGTATTTTTAGTCTTTAGGAATATTTAGTAATATTTTATTACACTTGAAATAAGACTAACCTAATTTAAAAGTAACTTTTCAGCAAAACATAAGAGTTTGTTTTAAGTAAATAATTGCTTAGTGTTAATAAAAAAATGCAGATTCCTCAGGAACTATTTGTCTTGTCACAAGTGAAATAATCTGCTAGTGAAACTAATAAATTTGAATCAATATTAATTATTGACTTAAAACAAACTTACATTTTGTTGAAAAGTTTTTGTTTTAAGTGTACTACGATATTTGCAATAAAAATTATAAAAAGATATTCAGAAGGATTTGGTGTTTTTTTTTTGCAGTGGAGAAGCAAAAAACACCAACTTGTGTTATTTTATCATGTGAAGCATATTAAACTAGAATATATGAAACTGAATCTGATTCTGTGTGAACAACTGGAGCCTTTTAATTATATTCAAACTGGACCTGTAAGTTTTGTGAGGTGGGTCAGGAGAACAATTTGAGTGATATTGCTGAACTGGAACTCACTGAGGTGAAATAATGAGCTTTTATTCCATGTTTTTAGTGTTTTTGTTGTCGTAACGTCTTCCTGTTCCTCCTCAGGTCCGAGTGTCCCTGCAGTTTCCTCGGAGCCGACTACGAACCCGGAGACGTGATCTTGACATCAGCAGGTGTTCAGTAAGATCTTCTCTAATGTTTCTTTCTCACAAGATGCTTCAGGTTTTTATTGTCTTCAGTCAAACCACAAAATGAGAATAATTCTGGATTAAGACAATCTGGAAAAGATTTAAGATTGAGAGAATTAAACAGAATAAAAACAAAACAATGATTTCCAGGCTGTAGATCCATCAAACATCCGTCCTTTGTTTGCTTAATTTATCAGTTAGTTTATGTATTAACTGTGTAAACTTTTTTATATATTAAATAAAATCAGTTCATTTAAATTTTGGTGCTTTAGCATTTTTAAGGGAGATTTTTCTGAGTGTTGCTGAAGAGCCACCCAGAGATAGAAAGAGAAACATTGCAGAAGCTGTCGACCTTTTAGCATTTCAGCCCAATGAAATGATAGCATTGTGCTAGCTATTATAATGCTAGCACAATGCTATCATTTCATTATGCTAGCATACAGCCATGTTGCTGACCACATTTATTCTTCTTTAAAATGTTTTAATATTTGAATGTGTAACATACCCTCATGTTCCCCTACAGAGTGTGTCTTAATGGTAAACTGGTTCCCCAGACTGGAGAAACTGGTAAGATGATCCCTGATTCAGTTTTTAGTGCTTTCGATGTTTTTGGCTGAGATTTTTCTGTAATTTTCTTCCTGACTTTCTGCAGACAGGTTTTGCCCTCCGGGTCAGCTCCACCTGAATTGCTCAGATGGGGCGAACAGCCAATCAGCAGGAAGGGGCGTGGCCTGTGAGCGCACCTGTGAGTCCTACCTGCTCAACATCACCTGCTCTGCGCATGAGCCCTGCATCTCTGGCTGTGCCTGTCCGCCCGGGTGAGTAGCAGCTTGATTTATTATGAATGGAAGCTCATGAAAATAACCAAACTCCAACTGGATCAGTTTGGAGACCAACTGGTTCTGATTAACCAGAACCAAACATGGAAAGGGAAACATTCATCTGGTTCCTGTAATAACAATAACAAAAGGATCATAAATCCAGATTAATTCTGGTCTGGATTACAACTGTTCATTACTTTCTTTATTTTTACACTGCAAAAACACTACATTTTACAAAGTATTTACTGTTTAGTTTCTATTGAAAATATATTAGTTCTCTTGAAATAAGAAAAAACCAACTTCCAAGTAACTTTACAGCACAATATGAGTTTGTTTTCAGAAAATAATTTCTTAATATTGATTAAAAAGTTAGGGTTATTTCATTTATGACTTGTTAAAAATGTCTTGTTATAAATGAAATTATTTGCAGTGGAACTAATACTTTCTAAATCAATTTAAAGAAATTATTAACCTAAAACACGCTCCTATATTTCAAGTGTACTAATATAAACAGTTCTGGTTCTGCTCTGCATCCAGAACCAAAGATGGAGAAGCAGCATCCAGCTTCTATGCACCAAAAATCTGGAACAAAGTATCAGAAATCTGCAAAACTGCTGAAACACTGATTGATTTAAATCAAGGCTAAAAGCCCACCTGGTTGGAGTGGCTTTTGATCAATAATGAAAGAAACACTGACCAACTTATGATGTTTATTAATGATTTTTATGATCTATTTAAAATAGTGTTTATATGACTTTTATTTTGGTGTTTTTATAATGTGAAGCATTTCTTCCTCTATTCTTCCTGAAATTTGCTGTAGAAATAAACTTGATTGGCTGAATAAATAAACCTGACTCTTTTTAAAAGAAGTAATTGCTTCCTAAATCTAACTGTTTGTGCCACGGATGTTATTAACTCGTATTTAATTATTCTGGTGTTGGTTAGGATTCTCTGATTCATCCGTTGGAGACAGAAAAGTCTTTAAAGCTTGTAGATGATGCAGACAGACAACCTTAGGTCTGTTTCAGTTGAACGATCCCTGTAATCCTTCCTGTTTTGTTTTTTTTGATGCATCTGTTAATTTTGGATTTGGCTTATTGTTTTAGGTTTTCAGGTTAATTTGAAACACAATAAGATGCTGTGAAAAGGTCAGAGATGTGCAGAGATGCCTCATAAGTCATCTAAAGTGTGTAAAGCTGACTGGCGTTTCTGTTCAACACATTAAACAAGACGACCTTTACGATGACATCAGACTCTGGACCTGATGTTCAGGCCTTGATAAAAGCGGTTAATAACTCCCTGAAACCTGAGAGGGAAACTATTTAGTGGTAAATATGGCCACAAAGACGTTTCATTGACGGTCAGCGATGATTCAGCTCTGATGAAGAGACTAAAGGTTGTGAGGTTCCATCAACCTGAATCACCAGTCTGAGTTTTAGTTTCTGCTTTGACGTGAAGGTGACCTATTATGCTTCCTTGAACAGGTTAGGATGGGTCTGAGTGAAAAGAAAACATGTTTTATTACGTTTTTGGACAAAATGATTCTTAGATAATGAGATTTTAGTTTGGTGAGTTCTGCAGAATCAGCTGTTCTTGGGCCTGTATCACTTTAAATGTAATAAGCTGCTGCTGGCCACGCCTCCAAAACTCAACCTTTGCACTCGCATGTTAAAATAGCTGTGAACAGATGCACATTTATACAACCATACACACTTGAAAAGCAGAAGTAGAGCCTCCTGCACCACCTACAAGAATGCATCGAGTGATTTGTGGCTGTTAAGTGAACAACAAAATATTTTTCCAGCAGCCATTGTACAGAGCATACAGCAGCGCAAAACCAGCTGACCAAACGTGCTGGACTCAACTGGGGTTGCTAGGTTACAACGCAGTGACAGTTGAATGACTTAACAACTGGGAGGGTTTTTTAGACGGTTCATTTTCCAGACACCAAAATATCTGAACTTATCACCAAAGAAGTGCTGGGGTTTCTTTTTAAAAACTTTACTTGTTTTAAAAAGCAGTTATGACCCAAATAAAAGAATAAAAATGTTCATAATGTGAATTTTGAATAACATGTCCCCTTTAAGGTTTGGCTGTCCTGATTTAATATTTTTATTTTATGTAAATTTTCTTGATTTTACAGTGCTGCAGACTAATGATCTTTTACTGGTTTTAATAAGCAAGGTGTCTAGCATTACTAAAACATCTGTTTGTGTGTTATCTATATCTTAATTGAGATTTCCAAAGCTCCTATATCTTGCTGAAGCATTTCCTGTAAGTGAACTTGTTTTACTCTGAGATATTAGCACTAGAAACTAGACAGAAATATTTTGTAAGACTTTGTGTTTTGCAATGCAACCCGTTCATGCATTGTGTTTAAAAGCTGGGTTAGTTACAGTAAATCAACAGAGTTGTTGGTTTTTATGTCAGTCTGAACAGACAAACGCTGAAAACGCTGATTTGTGCTGAGTTTGGCGCTATCTACTTAGCTAAAGGACTGAAAATAGACAACACAAAGCAAGGCTTTAGTTTAAGAAGTCAAAAAAGAAACAAAGATAAAAATGAAAAGCAACCTCAACTCGTCTGTGTGGTATTTATCTGCAGCAGGACTTTGAAACCTCTAATGGGAAATAATTAGCTGCCGTGTTGACTGAGGACTCCATTGTGTTTTTTTCGTTCACAAAGGAACACTTTGTTTATGATCAAAATGTCGACCATTCATTCCCTCGTTCTGTGGCAGCTGAACTCATATAAACCTGAACTTTTAGGTCCAAAACAGAAGCCTGCGGTTTCCTGGAATTTGGTATCAGTTTGCAGTTTATATGTACACATCATGCTGGGCAAAGGTCTTAAATCCCCCCGACTTCTTCTAGACTTTTCAGCCAGTTTTAGTCAACAGTTCAAAAGTTTCTCCACTGGCTTCACCTTTTTCAAGTCAGGATTTTTGATTTAGTCCTGATCATTTTCGGAACAATGTTTCTCTCATAAATCCAGGCATTTCTAGATTTCTTGTTGCTAGAGCATAAGAGTGAGGAAAATTATGGAAGAGAAGGTGTGTGATTGCAAGGAAATACAATTACTGCCAGATGAACATTATCTGTTAGTAATGGATGCTAAAAACTGGTAAAAATCCAGGAAAGACCTTCCTAAAGGTCCTTAACAAAATTTCCACTGAACTTTAAATGTCTGATGATTTAATTTTTAAATATTAAATGATTGATTATTTGATCAGTCACTCGGTACCTGAATAGACTTTTTACCAAATACTTTTTTACTCCTACTTGAGTAATTTCTTTGACAGCTACTTTTTATTTTTACTTGAGTAAAAATTTGTTGAAGTAGTTTTGAACATGGGCACATTGATGCACGGTGGTGACTGAGTCATGCTGTGGTCTTTTCTTCAGGAAATAATCACAATCCTGGAACAAAACCCGTTAGAGGCAGCTGGAGACCTGAGATCAATTGAGAATCTGTGCTATTGACTAGAGATGAAAATATTTTTATTATAATTAAATGTACAAATCTTTGCTTTGATTTTGTGGTGACAAATTAGATGAGGCAACTTCTTAACCCTGTAGAGTTCAAGTTTGCGCTTTTACATTGTCCCATGAAATTAAATTCACCCCGACCGGCTGTAGCTGTGCGGATTTATGGGTGACATGTTGGTAGGTCGGGAGGATAAGTGATTGCAGAAACTTGATCAGAGTAATCAATACGGCCGCTTGGCGCGCAGATAAAGGAAGCTGTTAGCGGCGTTTTATCTGTCGTGTAACTCTACTCAGATGAACCTCGGGTTTATGGCGGCACCATTCAGTGTGTCGTGTCATTGTCTGCTGCCTCGCCAGTGTAGCTCAGTTCAGCATATTACAAGATACTTATCAGCCTGGTGCTGCAGAGTGGAGGAGAGCAAATGTAGGCATCCAGACAAAGACTGGTTTTCTCTCTCTATCTCTGAGAATCCTAATTGTCTGGATTTCTCATGTCGCGAACGAGTGTTATTCCTTTTCATTCACAGCTGCCCACTCTTGAAGCTCTTTTTCATTTGCTGGAATGTTCCTGCACTGGAAGCCAACATCTGTCAGTGAACTCACAAATGAGTCCAAGCTAGAGGCAAACTCAGACTTCAGATGACAGGAAGTTGATAGCATACCTTTACCAAACGTTTCTTCAACATTATGTTTTTGGACTCAATTTTTTAGCCATTACTTTCCAACAGTTTGGTTAAAGACCTTTTATTGCTCTCCTTTTATTCGAGATTGTGTTGCAGAGATTTCCCATTCATGGAAGAAAGCCTTCTGGCGACAGATGCCAGCTCATTTACGGAGGATGCCAAGAAGTTCCCTGGCTAGTGTCCTGACCGTTGTCTGCTTCAGCTACACATGGACCTTTACGGAGAGAAGTTCAGTAGTTGTCCCTTAGAGAAGCTGACTCTTATCCCATCTTAGCACATTCTGGAAAACATGTCTTGAAGATGCCAGTAGGAATACATCACCTGCAATAAAATCAAAGACTCAGACTTTCCAAAACCAGCCACTCTTCTCCACATAACTACCCCTGAGATCCACCCCAGAGATCTCTGCCAGAGTCCAAGATGAACCAGGAACAAACTCCAGGAAACTTATTTACTGATCTAATTCTTGGTGGTAATTTAGGACCTTCTAATGAAGGGTCTTCATTCCAAAGAGAATAACTGATTCCAGTTAGTATTGGAGTCAGTGTTGCCCTTTGTTGGCCTCTTTGTACAGAATTTCTTTTCGGAGAATCAGACTCTAGTGCTTCTGTTTGCAGATGATGTGGTTCTGTTTGTGTCTCTTTACCTGAAGGACTGAAGGTGTTTAAACCCAGTGAAACTACCAGGATGAAGGTTAGAACCAGCAGGTGAAGTGCTGGGATTGAGCTACTGTCATTTGGAGTAATTAAGGAAGGAGAGATTTATAGGGGGATGTCTGAGAGGCAAAGACATTCCTCTCAGATAGCATGAGCTCTGGTGATGGAAAGAATCGGATTATAATGACTCAGGTTGATGCCTTGCATATCCAAAATGAGTGCAGAATGATATCATCACTCTGCCATTATCCCAAGAGTCACAGCAGGAGGATTTTAGAAATCTTCCATTTGGGGTAGAAGAAAACTGGTCCAGATCCACTCGTCAGTGGAGAGACTTTGACTTGTCAGTCTTTGACTACCTCATCCAGCTCTTGGGTGAGATGGATGAGGTATTTCTGATATAGGAAGTCCAAAAATACTTGCTTAACTTGATGTTCCTATGATCCAGTGCTACAGGCAATTCAGCAAACAGACCAGATTTAGTAACTTTTAACATTTTTTAACACTAAAACACGGTAGGAACCCTGCCTACGTCACCTGACTTACACAATCTCCCAGTTGCACCTTGAGCATAATTTCGGTTTGATTTGTTTTAAAGCAGGAACTCCTGATCTCATATTTCCCCTCTCTAGGTTACTGAAACACGGGGATGAGTGCTTTGAGCCTGATGCCTGCCCTTGTTTGTGGAAAGGGAAAGAATATTTCCCTGGCGACCGAGTTTCCTCCCCCTGCTACCAGTGGTAAGTTCACATGTATATGGCAAGATTATCTCACAGTTTCTTATCACAAATTTAAGAATTACCTCAGAATGAAGACAAATCTCCAACAATGTTCGGCTGCAAGGTTTATCCTGACACCACTGAGTTGTGAGTCTGTCAGAGCAGCAGAAGTTGCCATGTGATATGTGTAATTATTTGTTATCACGAGGCAGAGAATAGGGCTTGGAAACAGAGCAGCCTCTTGTACATGTCTCTGATTCCATCTGCTTCAAACCGTCCCTGGCTGGTGAAAGAAACCTCTCAGTGATCTGGGTTATTCTCCTGTCCTTTTCCTTCAAGTCACAGCCAGGGAAGATGATGTAGATGACAGCTTAATGGCACAATTGGCCAATTGACCAGCCCTTTTCTGCCTTCGGTAAACCAAAGGCTCTTTACAAATGGAGATGGTTAGAGGTGAAAAGCGGTTCCTGCAGTAAGTGGGAACAAGTTGATGTTAAACCACTGAAGCTTTTCTTTCTTTGTAGTGTTTGCCAACAGGGGATGTTCCAGTGCGTGTTTCGTCCGTGTCCCTCCATGTGCACAACTTACGGTGATCGGCACTACAGGACGTTCGACGGACTGCTGTTTGACTACATCGGGGCCTGCAAGGTCTATCTTGTGAAGGTACTTAACAATCATTTGTCCGTCCATTTAAAGGTAACCTGTTCTGCTTCCATAAACAGGTTAGGATAGGTCTAACAAAACGTGTTCAATACAACCAGAATGGTTTCTGGATGGCACTTATGTTTCCAGCATCCATTGTGCAGCACATAAAATGGTGAAACCAGCTGACTAAATGTGCTGGAGCTTTGCTAGGGTTGCTGGGTAAGAGCAACCCTAGGGTCACAAATCTCACGATTTGTGACGTTACATTCTGGAGGTTTTTGAAACAGAAAACACCAAAAAACATGAACTTGTTGCCTAAAATTGTCTGCATGTTCTTTCTAAGTGCTTGGGTTGTTTGTAGCATCAGTAGAAACTTAATGTGAAGTACAAGAACATGCAAAATGTGAATTTAGCATAATACTTCCTCTTTGAATGTAGAGATTTATAACTGATTTTTGCACACAGCAGCTGAAAGTGGACCAGATGCTTCGGTTTTGGGTCCCGGGCTGCTGGACTCGGGGTGAACACGGTTTACGTTTGTGTCCTGTCATCCACAGAGCAGCGCTGATGTGATGCTGAGCGTTTTGGTGGAGAACGTCGACTGCTTTGACAGTGGAATCATCTGCAGGAAATCCCTTCTGATCAATATCCGCGGATCCTTCATATCTTTCGATGATGATTCTGGAAAACCAGTAAGCGCCATCTTGACTGTCTTTTAAATGTTTCCTGTATAAATCAAGACGGTAACTAGATCCGAAATCCCATTCAGAATCCGTCTAGTGTGATCGACAAGAAGCAGCAGATGTTCATCTGGCCAGCTGGATATTTCACAATAATTCACTTCCCAGAAGAAGACGTGACGGTGCTGTGGGACCGCAAGACAACGGTTCACATCCAGGTTGGACCGCGCTGGCAGGTAGGACTCTGTTTTTACTCTGCTCAACATTCATGAGCAGAAAGAGCAAAGTGAGATAATGTGACGTGTTCAGGGGAAACTCAGCGGCCTGTGTGGGAACTTTGACCTAAAGACGGTCAACGAAATGCAGACACCTGACAACATCGACTCGCCGACGCCGCAGGAGTTTGGAAACAGCTGGACGGCCATGGAGGTGAGCGGAGCGTCCTAAAATCATTTATATTTCACTGTAGAGAAAAGTCAAACTGAGTCATTTCATCTGCATGTTTTAACAATGAACCACGACATTTCACTTTAGATAAAACTGCACTCTTGTATTTTCTGCAATGGAGTATTAGGGCCCTACTGAAAAAATAAACAAATAATTTATCCTCCAAATAAAGTTTGGAGAATAAATTAGTAAAAAAAAAAAAATTATATTAGCGTTAAATCCAAATACTACGGCTTTACTCTCCGATGAATTCATTCTCGTGTTTTTGTGACTTTATTTTTGTATTTTTACAACTTTATTCTCATAGTTATGTTGTAGTAATATAGTAAATAAATAATTTGTAATGAGAATAAGAATAAAGTAGTAAATAATAAATAGACATTATTTAAAGTCACAAATAATATAGAGATAGTCATTTTATTATAGGTAAAAAGTCATGAATGAAGACATACTATTATGACTATTCCGATATTAAAGTCAAAATAATACAATAAATAAAGTTGTAATAATATCAATAATAAACAAATAAAGTTATAAATAATATGAAAAAGAAGTCATAGTATTACGAGAGTAAGGTTGTAATATGACTTTATTCTGACAATACTACAAGTTTCTTTTCATATGTGTTTGTAACATTGATACTTAATTTTCTATCATATTCAGGGTTTAATTTCCCCTTTCTGTGTGTGTTTGTGTGGTCAGTGTGTGAACAGTCCAGACATCAGACATCCTTGCAGCCTCAGTCCTCTCAGAGAGCCGTTTGCAAAGCGTCAGTGCGGCGTCCTGCTCAGTGAAGTCTTTCAGACCTGCCACCCGGTGGTGAGGAGTGGCACTACAACAGATCTCTATTTTACTCATGTGTCTTCCTGTATGTGACCAGGTTCAAACCCAATTTCGATCAACATCTCCTTTGTATGACAGCAGTTTAGGGTCATTGCAGGCAGAAAAAAAGGGTTGTTGTTTCTTTTTTAACCAGAAAACTCTTATTTAATTTCAAGATTAATCTCAGAAATTTTCCAGAAAAAAACGTCAAAATTTCTGGGCATTAAAGTGAAATATTTGCAAGAAAAAATGTGGATGGTTGAGTTTCAAAAGGCAAAATTTTTCAACTTTTACTTTCTTATGAGTTTTTCAAGTACCGTAAATTTCTGAGTTTCAAAACTCAGAAATGTAATTTTTTTTCTAGAAAATGTCTGGACTTAATCTCACATTTTTAGTGATTTTATGATTAAATTGTCAACTTTCAAACTCAGAAACTTCCTAGAAAAAATGTGGAAATTTCTGAGATTAATGACAAATTTTCAAATCTTTTTCTAGCAAATTTTTATTATTGTCAGAAATTTCTTTGGGTTTTAAAGAACATTTCTGAGCTTAATCTCAAATTTTCAACTTTTTAAACTCAACAATTTAAAATTTTTCAAATTAAGAAATTTCCAATTTTTTATAGAAAATTTCAGAGATAAGTCCCAAAATGTTTTTGTTTTTTCTGTCTACAATGGAAGATTCTTGCTCATTGATGATCATTGCTTAAATAAGATTTTATTTTTCTGGGGTGACTAAATCTGTTTTATTTTACGCTATAATCAACTTAAACTCCTGAAATGATTCACTTTGTGTGTAATAAATCTAAAAGTTTGAAAAACATTGCAAATAAATGACATGAAATGAAAAAACAACAACCTTTTTCTCTACCTGAGATCTGTTACGTGTCTTCAGGTGGATGTCACCTGGTTCTACATGAACTGCCTGGCTGACACATGCGCCTGCAGCCACGGCGGCGACTGCGAGTGTTTCTGCACCAGCGTGGCGGCGTACGCAGGGCGCTGCTGCCATGAGGGCGTTCCTGTCGACTGGCGCTCGCCCTCTCTTTGCCGTAAGGGAAAACCTCACACTGATTGGTTGTTTTTTGTTTTACACAACAGATGTCTGATGTCATTTCTTTTTTCCAAGCAGAGTTTTTTTCCCCCTGAAGTTCTTTCAAATATTTTTTGCGGTTTTGTTCCTTAAATTTGACATTTGAATCTGATGCATAACATATTAATTAGAGATGAGCATTGATTGAAATTAAGTGAGTTCATTTCAGGGTAATTGCATTTTAATTGAAAACCATAAATGGATAAAATAAGTAATATTTGAAATTCATAAACCTCATTTGGTGCTAAATTAGTCAATAAATAGATCTACTTATGATGGTGTAATAGGGCAATTATAGATGGGGGGGAAAGTTTGAGACAAAAATAGAAATTCTGGGATTAATCTAGAAATATTTCAAAGGAAAAAATTGGAAATTTCTGAGTTTGAAAAATTGGAAAATTATTAAATTAATTTTGGAATTTTCTCACAGATTTACTGTGTATATAGTCCGTTGGCCCTCATGCATAATCGTTGTTCAAATAATACTGTGACATATTGCAAGGTTTTTATAAAATGTTTTTCAAAATTCCTGTTTCTTTTTCTTTTCTGCAGCATATGACTGTGAATTCTACAACAAAGGTAAAAAAACCAAACCTCTCCTTTGTATGCTGAATGTACATTAATTTCTACAAAAGTAATTTAGAACTATGGAAGACATTTTTATTGTTTCTGAACAAAAATAAGTGAAGCTGCAAACAGAAACACAATAATGCATAAAATTGACAGTTGTTTGGTTTCTTGTAAAATTTGCGTCTCCTCCCTGCAGTTCTGGGTAAAGGTCCGTTCAGGCTCTTGACCTTCTGGGATCAGACGTCCCTGTTGGTAGCCAGCCGGTCCAGCGGCTTCGTGTTCCTGCAGCGGGTCAACACCAGCGCCGGCGCCGCTCCTGGGATCCTCGCAGAGTTTATGATGACGCCGGGCCTCAGCAGAGCTCGACCACACGGTGAGCTCATATTTATTATTATCACATGCAGAAAAGATGATTTACCATCAAGAATCTGCTCCTTTTCTTCTCTTAACCAGAAGAATTAATACTGAGAAGCAGGAACTTAGAGGGAAGGAAGAAATACTGTGATCGGTGGGAAATATATAGATTTTGCAGCTCAAAGAAGCTGAAATGAAGCTAACATTAAGCTTCATTTAAGCTTAGTTCTTAGTTTAAATGAAGCAAACATTATACTTCATTTCAGCTTAATGATTCTGAAGAACTGACAGTAGTAGTCTGGAGGAAAACCAGGAATTCTGGGTAAATATAAGCAAAACAAACATGCTAGTCTTGTGTCAATGGGAAAACTGGCTCATTATTTTTAGACTAAAGAAAAATCCTCCAACTACTAACACCATTTTGTTTACAGTTTAAGAAAGAAGTTGAGTTTAGAGGTTTTCATGTGATTTCCTTTAGTAGTTCTGGTGCAGCGCCCCCACAGGTGAGGAGGGGAACAAGGTTTTTTCAGACTGTTTGATTTGTTTGACACAGGAGTGTGAAAATGAGCCGCAGCAGCTGAAAATGAAACAAATGTCGTAATTTTGGGCTAAACCGAGTTTACCGGATTATCAGAACTATGTAACAGCCTTTGATGAGAAATGGTTTCATATTTAATAGAGCAGGAGATGATTTTTGTTTCTGCCAAAGCAACTCAGGTCTATTTCTCTGTATTGTGCTTCTAAATTAAAAATAGCTCTAAAATGTTAATAATTCACACATTTATAGTAAATTAAAAACTTATTTTTGATTTCCATGTGTTTGAACATCACTGGAAAGTGATGAGTTATTATTATGAGCTGTCAGTTAACAGGTAGACTTGTTCATTTATGTTGTTGTGGCCATTCACAAAGAAAACAACAATCTATTAAGAAACTAACAAAATAGTTTAATTTGTACATATCAAGACGTTGCGCACAATAAACTCCATTGAAAAGCCTATTTTTCTATGCAAAACCCCTGAATCTGTTCGTAAACTGTTTAACTTCTCAGTGAACCAGATTCGGTGTGCAGCCGTTTGACGGCCAGCCAGGCTTCACTCCTGCCGTTTCCTTTCCTGTTGATCTGAGCTCTCCTGTGAAAACACCGATGAAGGCGATGGACTCATTGTAAAAGGGTTCAGAGATCAGATTGGCAAACACTCATATAGCAACTCAAGCTGCAGGCTTGACAGTCAGCCAAACCTGCAACAAGCTGCTCCAACTCCTGCTGGTTTCTTCAAACACTCATTTTCACCAGTTTAATGCTTATATATTTTAGTTTGTTCAATGCTGATTACCTTAAAATAATAACTTTCGCTCCATCTTTAAAGTGTTTTTTGTTTTCAGTCTTCAGGATTACTTTTGTTTTTATTTGTCATTTGAATTGGAGGAGCAGGTTTTTAAATGAGAGTGAGTTGCTCTTACTTAAAAACCATAACAGTCTCTTAAAATATAGCTGATATTACACATTTTAAAGGAGTTTCATTGCACAAACACAAAATCTTACCAAGTGTTTTTGGTCTGGTTTCTAGTGTAAACATCCTAGTTCACTTGAAATAAGAAAAAAAACAAACTCATAAGTGACTTTTCAGCATAAATAAGAGGTAGTTTAAGTAATTCCTTAAAATTTATTTTAAAAAAAAACCAAAACATTTTCACTGGCAAAGTTTTTAAATTATAAAAATACTTTTTTCCTATGGTTATGTATGAAAACATTCTGCCAATGGAAGTAGCACATTTTTCCTGTCAAGATTGAACAATTATTTACTTAAATTAAGCTGCTGTATCTAAAACGTTACTTGTCAGTTTTTGTCTTATTTCAAGTGTGCTAAGATATTTTCACGAGAAATTGGACCTATGTGCTCCAAGATTTTGTGTTTTTGGAGTGTGAACGGTGCATGCGGCGGCTAATTACACATTTGAATTTCATTTGGGTTGCTAGGTAACAGAGCTGGGGTTGCTAGGTAAAACGAGGCAGGGGAGGTTTTTGAAACGACTCCTTTTCCAGACATTAACAAACATTAGCTTAGTGCCAAAAAAACAGGTAGGTGTCTTTTGTTGTTTTGATTTTTTTAAGTGCGTTAAAGTCAGATTTTCTGTTTTTGCAGTGTAGGCGTTTTCCAAAACCATTAGAAAACATCAATCGTTCGTTTTCCTCTCCACAGATTCATCGCGGGTTCCTTTGAAGCCGTTGACAGACCGAACTACTTCCTGCACGCGAGCGCCAGCGCTCAGGTGAGGCTGGCCAAGTGGGAGGGAAGCGATGCATTCTGGGACGGAGCCACCTTCGTCCTCCACAGGAACACCTGGATCTCGGGCTACAACTCGCTGGAGTCGCACGCCAAACCCGGCTTCTTCCTGCACGCACGCCCCGCCTCCACCTGCTCAAGTTCAGACACAGCTACGGTTTCCGCAAGGCGTCGCTGTTCAGATGACGGGTCAGAGTCACAAAAATGTCACAGCACAGCAGAGTTTTCAAACAAAGGCCCTTTGAGGATGTAATTTTTAAATATATATGATTGATAATTTGATCAGATGCCCAGTACTTGAGAAGACTTTTACCAAACACTTTTTTACTCTTACTTGAGTAAAAATATGCTGATACAGCAAACAAAGAGCCACGTTTTGATTGCTACTGTAATATTTTACACCTTAAGCTGGAGAAAAAATACATTTGGTCGTCATTCTAAACTATTTTAATAGTGTATAAAAACTGGGGTAGTAAGGTTGACGATGGTAATTCCGACTAAAAAGAGTAAAAAATGTTCACCTTAAATTCATTAGTTATTTTAGACACATGTCTCCTATTTAACGCCTGATTGATTCTGTAGGACCAGAAATATGAATTTAGACGCAAGAGTGTTTTACGCACTAACTAATAATAATAATAATTAATTATTATATTAATTTAGCATAAATGCAGCCTGAGTTAGGATTTTATTTTAACATATTATGACCAGATAATATTTTATGACTTCATTGCACAATTTTTCATCTCAATCCGCTGTTTCAATTTAAAGAAAATATGTAATATTTTACATTAATTGCATAAAATTTTATTTTATGCTGGTATTTTCTTGTGTTTTTTTTTTTTTTTTTTTTCAGGAATGTTTCCTTTTTTTGCTAGTTTCATTAACCTGAGGAGCAAATCAGCTCAATAAATTTGACTGGTGGCCAATCAGAAAGTTAGCATCAAAAATAACATTTAAATAAAGTATTTTCACTATTGTTTTATTTTAAAATATGATTGAATGACAGAAAACAAAAATAATGATGAAAAATTTAAGATATAAAAAATATGATGGGTTTAAATTTCTTTTTAATTTTCCCTCTAACTTTCTACGGCCTTCACAGCGCCACCTGGTGGCCATCTTAATGAAAGAAAGTAATCTATGGTGGTAATTTATTTTTTTTATGTGTGTTTTTTGCTCAGGCCCCAGACCAGACAGCCCTCCGGGTCCTCGCTGCCAGTGGCGGTACGACTCCTGCATCAGCCCCTGCTTCAGGACCTGCAGCGACCCGTCCGCCGAGTCCTGCGTCACCATCCCACAGTGAGACCTTTGACCTTTACCTGTTTCTAACACGATGCGAAACGATCAGTTTGGTTTAATTGGAGCTGACATGTTGAGGCTTTTATTTTGTGAACGTGTTTCCTGTGCAGAGTAGAGGGCTGCCTTCCTGTCTGCCCCCCAAATATGGTCCTGGATGAAATCACCCGTCGATGCGTTCATGATGAAGACTGTAAGTAGCACAAAGTCTGGAGAACAGAAGAGCAGGAAAAACTACCAAAATAAGAGCAGCAACACTTCTGCATGTTTTTACTCAGTGTTGGTAATTTACTCACTTTTAATTAGATGTTTTAATTTTCTGTTGTGCATTATTGGGTGTTAATTTCAGCCCAAGATCAAGTCAATCCCTTTGAAAATAATCAAAAATACGTCAGCTTGAGTAATTAACTTCTTTGCAGCTGGGAAACAGTTTTGTTTTGATTCAGAAGTAAATGTTAAATTACAAAGAAAAATTGTGGTAAATGATAAATAAGAAGAGAAACTCAACTAAAATAACATTTTATTTTTATGATGGTTTTATTAACAATTGCTATTATTAGTCCTTATTTTGATAATGGAAGCTTGTTAATTTGCCTATGTTGTGTTGTGTTTGTATTGATTGTATGCACAGGAACTACAGATGAAATTAGCCTTTATGGCTAACTCTGTCATTTTATGTAATGTGCTTTTTGCCCTTTGAAATAAACAAAAACAACAACAATAAGCCTTGAAGCTCACAACACTTTAAATAATTTTCATAATTTCTTTCTATCTTCCTACTTTATACTTAAAGCAGAGTGCTTCAGTTTTTAAAACATGCTAGTTTAGCCTAGCACCTTCTGCAGCAGAATTGTATTTCCTACTGTAATCCCTCAGATTATGATTACAAAAAGATAAAAACACTAAAACTAAAATGAAAGGTTTTCAGGTGTGAATATTTTCCAATCATTATTGCATTTCTGACACTTGTTTTCATGTGATCTCAGGTATTCGGCTCCCAGATTCAGTGGGTGCCTCCGTCGCCGTCCACAGCAGCTGAACGTTATGATGTCACCACATCGTCCACACCTCCACACACACACCACACAGTGAAACTTCCCACCAGCGCTGCTTCTAGCGCTCCCTCTGAGAGCAAATACACCACCTCATCCAAAGCACCATCTGCCCCTGATGAGCCAGCCCGCCCGGAAACCATAGTTTCATCTGCAACTCCTGAGCCGTCCAGAACTCTGTCTGGGCCAACAGTGCCCTCTGCTGTCAGGCCAGAGAAAGTGGAGGCAACATCCACAGTCAGAGTAACTGAAACTCCTGTTACAACTTCATCAGCTGCAACAAGATGGACGACCAGGCTGAGCTCATTCAGCCCACCATGTCCAGAACAACCAGAGGTCATTTTGACTCCTCCTCCTCCACAAACCGACTGACTCCCAGTCCTCCCCGCTCACCACCGTTACAACGTCTGCTGGAGGGCCGACACAACCTCTACGGTTGGTCATCCACATAAAGACGAATCAGAAAGCACAAGTTCAGCAGTTACTCAAACAACTTTGAGTTCAGTTTCTCCCCGAGTCTCAGAAACATCTGCAGTAAGAGGCAGAACCAGTGTCTCCAGTACAGCGACTACCTTACACAAAAGCTTCACCAGTAGGGGAATGACAACAGCACCATTTATCCTGCCAGAACAACCAACCACAAGCTCTACAACAGCTTCTCCTGTTCCCACCTCGCCTACTAAAGAAGCAGGAACTGGATATTCATCGACAGCAACGACAGAACCGTTCCAACTAGTTAGCTCTTTCACTACCAGTAAGACACAAACTGGAACCACAGGAAGGACTTTGCACGTCATTCCAACTGATCGTACAACTTCTTCGACTATTTCTGTGCCATCCACAACAACCGTCTACCATGTTAAACACTCTACAACTCCACCGTCTGCCTTCACTTCAGCTACTACAAGGTGGAAAACATCAACCATAAAGAAAGTCACAGTCCCAGAATCTCCTGCATCTAAAATCTCTGCAGTCTCCACAACGACAGCTTCACCCAGACCTGCTAAGATGACAGGCAGCACTGCTCCTTCTTGGTACACGTCAGCTGCCTATTCGGATAGGACTTCCTGGTCCGCTGTTGCTCCAGTAACAGGGAAAACCACTTCCAGCAAGCTAACTTCAAGACCCCTTGTTGTTCCAGAAACAACCACAATGTCCACAGATGTTCATTCAGCACAAAACCTTCAACAGAATTACTACTTTACAACAATCTCCAACCACACAGAGCACCACCCATCCTCTATATACTGAGCGAACCCCTGAGCCTCGGTATCCCCCTCACTGGGAGGTCACCTCCACTTCCACTACCACTTACCGGCCGCCAGTGGAGACAACGCCTGGGCTGCCATCTGACTCTCTAACCATGTCTGCTAAATCTCCTGAAGTTCCTCTTCTTCCAATAACATCTAGGACAACGTCTACCTCTGGAGCAACTACCATCACCTCAGAGACGTCGGCTCCAAAAAGCGCAGCCACAACCACCAGGAAGCTGATTTCTCCGCCAGCTGCCTCCTTCACCACCACCACTAGAAGACCTAAACCCTCCAGTTTTCACACCACTCTTAAGTCAATTACAGAGACTTCCCAACCAGTTACAACCAGAGGTCAACCGCAACTACAAGCATGTCTTCTCCGTCCTTGTATTTGCTCCACACAACAAGCTCTACAACAGCCCCAGAGGTATCTACAGTCCTGGAGAAGATCACGACCCGACTGGTGTCCTCTTCAAGAGCCACACCCACCGCTGTGAGGACATCCACCCTTTCAGCAACACCCAGACTTCCTATAACATCTAGAGTTACTTCCAGAGCCACATCGCCCGCAGTTAGGCCGATGACCACAAGGGTCACTGTTACAACAAGACCTTCAGCTACCACCACCAGATCGACTGTGGTTGGTTCACCGGCTACTACATCTCCAACCACTGCAACAACAGCAAGCAGGGTTGATCATGTTGCCACATCTGCAACAATTTCCCGTTTGACCACAACATCTGCTCGAGTCTCTTCACCGTCATCGACGGCCGCCTTCACCGGAGATCAACCTCAACCAAAGAGGCTGAAACAACAACATCTCCATCCCGACCTGATGTCTTTGTCTCAACCCAGCAGCCTGGTATTCCAGTTCCAACTACAACACGTCAAGAATCCACCACCGCCTTCCAAAAGACTCCTACAAGTCCAGGATCCACAACAGCTTCGAGTTCTCCTCACACAGCCGGCGAATCAACCAGTTCTTCAGTTGACCGATTAACATCAATGTCAGAGACTTCTATAAGGACGTGCACTGTAAGTTCACTGAGGGAGTGTTCCTATTTAATCGATAGAACAATCCTGCTAATTAAAAGAAACCTGAAGGTGAAGATATTACTAACTTACTGCAGTTTATCACAACAAAGGGAAAAATAACGCAGAAAAGCCATTGAAGAATGACTGTTCACTTGTTTTCCTGTTTACGAGCATCTCTGATTTTTAAACTTTTTTCAGCCTCCGTATGCAGAGATAGTCGACGAATGCACAAAGTACATCTGTGTCAACAACCAGCTCATCCTGTTCAACAAATCCCAGAGCTGCCCCTTCACAGCTGAGCCTCCAAACTGCGGCCTGCTTGGCTTTGCTGTTCTGGTCAATGGAGACAAGTGCTGCCCGAAATGGGATTGCCCATGTAAGGAACCACAAAAATGTCCAGTTTTTCACCATTTCCTGTTCAGAAGTGTGCTGCAGCAGGACTTCCCCTGATATTTTATTGTTTCATGTTGTAGGTCGCTGCTCGATGTTCCCCGATCTGAATGTGATCACTTTTGATGGGGACAGCTTTGCCATTTTCAAAGCTGCTTCCTACATCGTTGCCCAGCTTCCCAATGAGACCCTCAGCGTCCTGATTCAGGAATGTCCGGCGGACTCAGATCTACCGGTGAGCGCCGTCATCTCATAAATCCACCGTCAGACAGAATCCGGTTAATTGTTCATTCCAGTAATTAGACTCAACGATCAGGTGTCTGCGTCAATAATCTATGATCCCCAAACAGAGAAGAGAACGTTGATGTTGGCAGAAGAAGTAATGCTGTTTTACTGCCGAAACAAACCTTAGAAAGAAAGTTTTCTACTGTATTGTCCAAATATCTTAGCACACCTGAAATAAGGCAAAAATAAGTATAGAAGCTTGCTTTATGTAAATAATTCTTCAATATTGATGAAAAAGTTCTAGTTTTTTTTGGCAGATTATATCACTTGTAACAAGACATTTTCCCCATTTCCACCTAACATAAACTCCTACTTCTTGAAGAAAAGTTACTTGTAAGTTAGTTTTGTTTTTTTCAAGTGTAATGAGATATTTGCAGGAGAAACTAAACAAAAATGCTTGGTAAAATTAGGTGTTTTAAAGTTTTTAAAGTCTATTGAGCAATGAGAGCTGATCATCACAAGATTGTATCATCACGAAGGAAGCTGAAAAAAGCTTTTTGACTTTAATTTCTGTAGAAAAATCTGTTTGGATGAGGAATCAGAGTCTGGAGTGTTGGGATCAGAGACACAGATTTCTTTCACAAGTTTATAATTATAATTTTTTGTCATTCTTTACATCCTTATTTAATGCATATATAGAAGCGTCACTCAGATTTACGTCGTATTGACCTGCTGTGTGAATGCAGCCAAACGTCACTGATTAACATTTTCCTTATTCATTCTAAAGCTCATCTGGAATTTCACCAACTTGTGTCTGGTTTCACTCAACATCACGCACAAATCGAACCAGGTCGTCGTCGACAGACTGCAGAGGAGAGTAAGGCGCTCATCTTACCTTAAACTGCAACGTCTTGCACTGGCTGAAATTTGAGATCTTGCACTTTTAATCTTTAACCAGCTCTTCGTGAATTCGCGCTACGCCAAGCCTCGTTTTAAAAAGTACGGCTTTGAGATCTACGACACGGGCAACATGTACCTGATCCGCAGCCCGGCCGGGCTCAAGGTGCAGTGGTACCACAGCACCGGCATGATGGTGGTCGACGCCAACGACGCAGGCAGCAAACTCCCCACCAGGGGGCTCTGTGGTAAGAAGAGAAGAAGTTTCTACCTTCCCTCTGAGGAAGGAGCCATGTTTCCTTGACTGGTTGTGAGAAGCACCATGGATCAGTGGCTCCCCAAGGGGTTCGAAGGTTTATCAAAGGTGGCAGCACTTTGCATCAGTCTGGATTTGTTCTTTTGGATCCAACCAAATTGGAGCTACAGCGACATTTTCAGTCTGTAAAATTGTAATGTTTGATATTTTTCTTTAAATATGACAAAGGTGGAAGAGTACCCAAAAATTGTACTCAGTAAAAAGTACAGAGTAACTGATCAAATTATCAATCATCTAATATTTAAAAATTACATCATCAGACGGACCAAAGTATAAATTTTAGTGGAAATTTTGCTATTTTAAGGACAAAATGACAATAGTTCATACAACTATGAACTATTGTATTGAACTATAAGTAATCAGAAAAAATTAAATCAAGTTGCATTTTTTTCAAAATCAGTTTCTTTCAATAAAAAGTTATTAAACTTGAACAGAAACTGCAGGTGTGTATCAGGTGAACTTTTGGTTAAAACGGGTTTATTTTTCATTCAGTGATAGAAAATCTAGACATTTACTCAAGTAAGAGCAGAGATACTTCATCATAAAATTACTCAAGTAAAAGTAAAAGATACAGCGCAGTAAAAGTTACTAATTTAAATGTAATACAACTAAGAAACATTCTGGGTTTTAATATTTAACCCTTCAGGTTTCTGCGATGGAGATCTGACCAATGATCTCACTGCCCAACGGCTCGGTTTTGGCCGTGAGCCAGGACCCGGTTCTGTTCATCGACAGCTGGCAGGTTCCCAACACCACCAGCTACATCAGCTACAGCCGTCGGCGTGAAACACAACTGCTCCACCAGTGACTGCTCACGCTGCCTGGCCATGCTGGATGACGCCGCCTTCACGCCGTGCCACGCATTCGTACGTTTCCTCCCAACTCCTCAACAGGCTCCCGTTCTTTCTCAGTTCGTGTTGCATGTAGTTTGATCGTTGCTTCTTCGTCTCCAGGTGCAGCCCAGCACCTTTTGTGAGGTTTGGGTGAGAGATTCAGAGTATGTGAACAACCACTGTGTGGCTCTGGCTGCTTATGTGGCAACTTGCCATAAATTCAGTGTCTGCATCAAGTGGAGGAGGCCGGATTACTGCCGTAAGATTTCTGTTTATGCTTGTTCCCAAGTCCTGAAACTGTATGAAAAACATGTTCATTAAATTTTTTTGCACAGAATAATTAGACAATGAGAGTCAAATTGAGTTGTTGCCGGGTGTCTTGTCCCTTTAAATCCAAATAAACTGCTGCTGGCCACGCCCCCAACTCAATGTTTACACTCAGATGTGAAAGTAGCTGCAAACAGATGAGCAGTTACACAGCCTTACGTGTTTAAAAAACATTAGTGAAGCACAACAAACAAGAACGCAGCAAGTGGTTTCTGGATGTTAAGTCCACAACATAACAAATTTCTTTTCCAGCAGCCATTGTAAAGCAAAAAAAAAACCCAAAAACAACAACAAAAAAAACATCTTACCGAGTGTTTTTGTGTAGTTTCTAGTGTACTTGAAATAAGAAAAAATAACTGAAAAGTAACTTTTCATCAAAAATATAGCAACTTGTTTTAAGTGGATGATTTTTTAAAATTGCTAAACATACTAACTTCTTGTCACAAGAAATTTTTCCAATGTTGTGAGATAATTTACCAGTGGAACAAGAACTTTTTAATTAATATTTAGAAATTATTGAATCAAAACTATCTCCTCTATCTTGCAGAAAAGTTACTTCTAACTCAGTTTTGCAGTAAGACATTTGAAGTAGAAACTACAGAAAAAATGCTCTGTAAGATTTTGTGCTTGTGGAGTGTTTATAGTGCACACAGTGATCGAAACCAGCTGACCAAACTTGCTGGAGTTCCATTTGGGTTGCTAGGTAACAGGGCTGGGCATAATTCACATAATTATGCGACCTAATTCACACATAATTTATCCCAGCATGTGTTTTATCTGAAAGAAGAAGGTAGATTATGGAGAAACTTTTGTCTTTCAGTGCTTTATTCCCAAGATAAGTTGATGGGTGGTGCATTGCTGGTATTTTCTTTCCCTGCAGCCTTCGTGTGTCCCGGCTCTCTGAGCTACCAGGCCTGTCTGCCGGCCTGCACGTCTCAGTCCTGTCCGAACCACGACTTTGACTCTGATCCGGACCACTGCTCCGGCCTGACGGAGGGCTGCGTCTGCCCGAGGGAACGCTGCTCCACCGGCCGTACTCGGCGCTCTGCATCAGCCCGGAGAAGTGCGGTAAGGACACAACTTCACCGCTTCCATCTGACACTCACTGGATTAGAAACAAAATGTACAAAAATACAGACCCCTGCACAAATGGTGTCTAATTTCTCGTGCAAATATCTTAGAGCAATTGAAAAATTGCTCACCATGTCTGTGGTGAGTTACAAGTGACTTTTCAGCAAAATATCAGAATTAGTTTTAAGTAAAGAAATTCCTTAATAAAGATGAAGAAGAACTAATCAATCAACTTTATTTATGCCATTAGGTAGATCTGGTTACAGTGACCTGAGTCAGCTTTACACTTTACATCATCACAACAATAAGAAAGAATATAATTTTATTCAAATCAGCCTGTTTCTCAATACTTTAAAATATTAAAAACCATAAAACAGTAAAAGAATTATAAGCACAAGTGAGTGTTTTTGCTTCTTCTGTGGTGAAGAATTTGAAAGATTTAGTGTTTTTGTAGTGCTAAGTTAAATTACAGCTAAATTAAACTCGGTCAGGCATCAGTATTGCAAGACAAATGACACCTTTAAGTGGATTTATATCATTTAAAGTCTCTTCATTTTGCCTGAAGTCGATTCCCTTTTGGGTTCTTTGTGATCCAGGCATTTATTTCTTCTGTTTGTCTGCAGCCTGCACCGACAGCGGCGGCGTTCCTCGGTCGCACGGCGAGGTGTGGAAGGCCTCTCAGGACGGCTGCTGCATGTACCGCTGCGACAACGACACCATCGTTCCCGTGGAGTACGACTGCTCCAGCGCCGGCGCCGGTCTGCCGCCGAACCGGGGAGATGATCATCAGCATGTCTGACGACATGAGCTGCTGTCCTCACAAAGTCTGTGGTGAGCCAAAGAAACGCTCGTTCAGGTTGCTTTAATCATTAAAAGAGCCATGAAACACTGACTGCTGTGATCTGACATGTTCTGCAGTTTGTAACCAGAGTCTGTGCGATCGCTTCCCTCCTGAGTGTAAATATGGGGAAAAGCTGGTGTCGTACTACAGACCAGAGTCCTGCTGTCCGGACTACGTCTGTGGTGAGTTTCCTACCAATTACGCGGCATATTAGGGACGCAGTAGATAGAAATTAGCTGTTGATTTTTCCACCAAAACTCAGATAATTTGAGACTAATCCTAAACAAAAGGGAAGGTTATTTTACAATTTTTGTTACACCAATTACTGAAAAATTAAGTGTAAAATAAAGCAACTTTTTGAAAAGATGACACAAAATCAGTCATTTTAGACCGAAAGACACACAAAAAAACGTTAAAGTATAATTCTGTTGTGTTGTGTGTTTGTTTGTCCCTCAGTTCAGTTTTAGCCTCCAAAACAGAAATAAGGATGATAAAATTATCTCTAAAATAAGCGCCGGTGGTAAATGAAGATGATTCAAAACACAAATTGTACTATAATGTAAATAAATAAATAAAAAAAGAGCAAATTTGTGCCAAATTTTTTTTAGATTAATCTCAGAAATTAGCTTGAAAAAAATAGGGAGATTTCTGAGAGCTTAAATATTTAGATAATAATCTTGCAATTTTGAGAAAAAGTATTTTTAGTTTCAAAAGTTGACATTTTTTTACTTTTGAAACTCAAAAATTTCTTTTTTTTCTATAAACATTCCAGAGTTTTTCTAAGAAATGTTTGATTTTGCATAAACAAACTCCTGCAAATCTCTCTGTAAATTAAAATACAAAATATCAACTACTGGAAGGAAATTTGTTGTAATTTTATTTCTCTGTCTAGTTTTTAAAACGAAGAAAAAGGATTACGTAGTTTTGTGCACTATCTTTACGGCTTGACGGGAGATGTAAATGGACAGAAGCGCTCACTCACTGCGACTGTTTGTGTTTTTTTTCTAGAGTGCGATCCTGAGCGTTGTGAGTCTGAGCTTCCCGCCTGCAGAGACGACCAGACGCCGGTCGCCACCAGAGCCGACGGCAGCTGCTGTCTGGCCCACATCTGCAGTCAGTCCAGCCTCCATTTCTGATTATTCCTCCACTGAATCCTCATTTTGTTGATTCTGGGTGGGTTTTCCTCCTGCAGTGTGCTCTTCCTGTGCGGAGAGGCCTCCTTCCTGCCAGGACGGCGAGGTGCTGAGCGTCGACAGCAACAGCACGGATCGATGCTGCCCGTCCTACCAGTGCGGTGAGGAAACACAAGTTCACTCACTGACCTTAAAATTACCCAGATTGGAATCACTCATTTATTTCAAACGGAACAGGGAAAAAAATAAAACAAATTATTATGTAATTTTACATAATTAGTTTGAAACGGAGAGGGTAGAAGATACAAGATGTTTTTCCCATCCTTAACCTACAAACATTTAAATCACACCAGATAAACTCACATTGAAATTATTCCCACATCGTATAAACTAAATATTTTCATCTTTAAATCTACAATTATTGATGCATTTTAATGTCAGCAATAGCATTTTGGTCTCTGATGCACCAACATGTTTCCTATTAAGGTCATTTCAAACTGTTTTTTTTTTTTTTGCTGGTTCATAAAACATAAATAAATTTGCTGAATATATATATATATATATGTATATATATATATATATATATATATATATATATATATATATATAATATATATATATATATATATACACATATATATATATATAAAACTCAAATTCTTTAATAAAAAGTTTTTGTGCTGTTTTTTTTTTTAAATCGGTCTATTAAAAGAAAAACTGCAATGGAAAAAATTTTTCCCCTCAAAAGTGAAATGGATGTTGCTACTGGTGGAAACGACAAAGAGGATGACAGGAAGTAGTAGGAGGAGGATGTTTTTTACTGACTTATCACGTGAATAAACTTACTCATGTGTGACTTTAATTCTGTTTCTTATTAAACTGCAATGTTGTGTTTTTCAACATTAATGAAATACAGTTAGTTTTTCTAACAAAGTGGACAAAATAAATCCAAACAAACCCAAATACAGTAACTATGATTGGAATGAAAGTGGGACCAGGTCTGCAGATAACAGTTATTTTAGTCATCAATTTTTCTGGTGATTAATCGATTATTAATATAAAACATTTGCCACATTCTTTAGATTTTCCATTTAACCACCTAAGCCTTTTTTATACAATATTAAACATAGATTAAAAGATAAAAGTAAAAAATGATTCAATTACTTTAAATAAGAAAATAATCATTTTATTGCCTAAATTGCAACAACATTCCTTTAGTGAATGCAAAGAAAGCATCAGCAGCTAAAAAATGTCTGACCTTTTTGCAACATCAATATAGTGCTCAGATGATTTGCTGATTATTTATTGGATTATCAAGTTAATAATTAGGGAGAAAAATTTAATTAATATTGAGGAGTTCTGAACATTGCTTGAGGAGTTCTGAACATTTTTACAAAGACTTTTTTTTACCTTAAAGCAAAATTTAAAAATTTTTTAATACAGTTTTGACTTAATTACTTGTTATGTTATTTCAGCAAATGGTATATTTAAGAATCTGTGTACCACACTTAGTAATTAGTCAGTTGCTAAATTAGTTGATGGTTATCTCATTAATCCATTAATCATGATTGATCTGATTAATTGTTTCAGCCCAGAGGGAAACCACACAGTTTATTGAGACTTGAAGAAATAAGTTTTAGGACACATAAAAACAGTAGCTTCCTATTGTATTTTTTGATAAATTTGTGAAACTTTCTGAGTATCGCTCTGTGTGTGTGTGTGTGTGTGTGTGCGCATGCAGTGTGTGAGCCCTACAGGTGTCCTCAGCTGAGCTGTCCCGTTGGGATGTCAGTCATGTCCGTTTCCAGCCCAAATCTCGCTGTCCCAACCAAACATGCGGTACGATTCCAACACGCTGCTGTTTGGTTTCAGATCAGCTTCAGCGTTAAAATAAATACCTAAATAATCTTTATTCCTCTTGTTTCTGTTTACAGTGTGCAGCTGTGAAAAGATCGTCTCCTAAATGTAGCCTGGTAAGTTCTGCCTGTGAGGAATAATATTCTGTTTGTACAGTAATCAGAATGAAAGGTCGGATCTCTCTCTATTCAGGGAGAAGCTGCACAGCTTGACCGGGCCTTCCTGACCGACCCTCAGAACCAGTGCTCCTGCAAGAGATACAAGTGTGGTGAGTTCTGCCCAGACTAAACACTGAGGCTGTGATTCAACACACCAAACACTGGTTACCCAGTTTGATTCCAGTAACACAAACCCATCCACTGAACCTGATCTGCTGAGCTTCTTTGAACAGGTTAGCATAGATCTATGGGCGAAACCAAACCTGTTAATTAAATTTTTTCCACAAAATAATTCTTAGATAATCAGATTTAGCCTGCCCAGTTCTGAAGTGCAAAACACATCAACAAAACTGTAAACACAACCAGAAATCAAAAAACAGACGCTCAATTATACAACTGTACTTCTTTGAAAAGCAGAAGTGGAGCTTCCTGCATAACCAACAAGAATGCAGAAAGTGGTTTTCTGGGTGGTGAGCCAACAACAAAACACTTTTCTTCTCCAGCAGCCATTGTACAGGGCATGCAGCGGTACAACCGGCTGACCAAACATGCTGGAGTTCAGCTTTAATTCAGTTGTGAAAAACTGAATGAATGTTTTAGAGTTTATTTATCCTCCCATAAAGTGCACTTTTAATAACAGCACATTTGAATTCAGTTTATTGCAGTTAAGTTAAATTATAATTTTCTAGTCGAATAAAATTTAATTCTGTTATCCAGTTTACTGCAGTTAGAATCACAGTTGAATAAAATAAAACAACATTTTGGTAAATAGAATTAAAATCTATCTAATTCACTCCATTCCAATTTAATACTTCAGTTTAATATAATGCAACCAGTTAGATATTCTGTTTTTTAAATAATTGTTTTATCAGTTATTTGTTTTTCATACAATTAGATTTGATTAATTTCACCACTTAAAGGGAAAGTTTTCTTGAATTTATACATTTTTTTCAAAATAAAAGTGTAACATAAACTCAGATTTTTTTCACCCCAATGTTATAGCTTTTGATCAGCTTTTGCACATCGACACATAAAACATGACCCGTGTGCGTGTGTGTGTGTGTGTGTGTGTGTGTGTGTGTCTGTGTGTGTGTGTATGCGTGTGTGTGTGTGTTCAGTACGCGAGGCCGTGTGTGTGTTCGGTGAGCACGGACTGCTGCGGCCGGGTCAGACGCTCGTCGAGCACGGAGACGACGGTTTGTGTTACAGTCGCCACTGCAGCCATGTTCTGGACCGACGAGTGGATTTCACCTGCTGAGGATTTCCACGGTGAACTGCTCCGCCCACTGCCACCCGGTGAGACGCAGCCATCATCAATAATTACTGTCTGGATGCACCCGGGTGTCAAAACACAAAGTCATACAAAGTTTGAAAGGCTTTGGCAGCTTTTTCAGACGAATTTTTAGCATAAAACTGCTTGTAGTGAATATTTGCTTTAAGCCAATAATTTCTTAATATTGAGGGAAAAGTTCTGGTTCCATTTGAAGATTATTTCTGATGAAGACATTTTTCTCAGAAGTGAAATAATCTGCCAGTGGAACTTGAACTTTTTTATCAATATTAATTATTAGAGGCGCCTACATTTTGGTTAAAAGTTACTTGTCAGTTAGTTTTTCTTATTTCAGGTGTAAATAGATATTTTCACTAAAATGTAGACCAAGGATTGCAAGGAATGTCTTGAAATTTTGACTTTAGCCCCAAAATATGAGATCCTACTTTGGTAGACAGGTTTATAGGCACAATAGCAAAAAAACTACAAGAATTTAGGGCAGAAAGCTGAATTTTCTTTGGATGTTGTGGAATACATGTTTACCCAGTGAAATTGAGTCACTGTATGAAATGTCTGACCTAAAGCGAAAACCAAACCGTATCTGAAAAACGGAAAGGACCAAAGACTCATTCCTGAGGTACACCAAGAACTCATCGGCTGTAAAATTCAGGGAGACAGAGAAAGTTGTGTTTCTTGGGTTTAATCATACTGAATTCTTGTGTTTTAGAATCAGATCTATGTTCCTCCTAAAGACCAGTCAACCTGCTGCGGCGAATGTAAAAACATCTCCTGCATCTATCAACACGAGAACAGGACGGTCGGCCTCTACAAGGTAGGACAAGCTTCATTCTTTATCATATGAGTTTCTGAATAGTTTTTACTGTGTGTGTCGGTACAGAATTTGAATATTGTGAAAAATAGTAACTCAAGTCAATGTAACTGAGTAAATGTAACTAGTTTCTGGCCTCCGCTGCATATGTCAGTAATAATTTTAGAGATTATTTGGTTCAATAATGTTCGTCAGCAGTTTGCTGTGCATCCGGCGTTTGCTGCAGTTAAAATTAAATTAAAACAAATTGTGTAACGTTGTTAAACGTTTGAAGTAAACTTGATGATGATGTTTTCAGCCTGGAAGGTCCTGGGTGTCAAACTGCAAGAAGTTCGAGTGCTCCGACACTTCATTCGGACCGACGCTCATCTCCTACTCTTACAGCTGCCCCCCCTTCAATGAGACAGAGTGCATGAAGGTCAGCAAGAACACAGCCGGACCTGCTAGCTGCTAGCTAACAAGTCCACTTTTATTAGCTGAACTAAATAAGTCAATGATGAAGTAAGAAAATAGCTAAGAAAGAAAATATCTATGTGAGCAGCTTACAGAAGCAGTTAATTATATAAGTACGTAACTAAATGGATAAGAATATGAGGCTTAACAGAAAATTGTTTCAGTCTTCTCATACGGACTGAAAATAACGAGACCTGTTCTAATCTGGAAGTATTACAGATGTTTTAACTCTTGGTCTGCAGAAATAACTTTAGAGCCACTGCTGTAGAAAAGCCTCACTGTGGTAAACTGATGGTGATACGTTCATCTGCTTGCTGACTCTCATCTCCTCTCAGATCGGAGGAACCATTAGTTACATGGATGGATGCTGCAAGACGTGTGAGTATCTGATCTGAGCGTAGCAGCAGTTTGTAGCTAGCGTAGCGCTGTAGGCTGCAGCTGACACTGAACCTGCCGTTCAGCTCGTCTACAACACGTTTGCACTTCAGTTAAACCCAAAAACCTCACCTGGATTGGCTCACACCTGGATCGCAGCTGCTGTTTTCAGATGTCTGTCTGCTGCTAGTTCAGATTTCCACGCTTCTCAGTGAGTTTCTGTAAAACCCGTCACTGAGAAGCGTCTGATGACGTTGAAGTGGGTTTGTGGTTTCTGTGCTTCACCTTACCATCATGTACCGATCCCACCAGGTACTGGATTTCATCTGTTCCCTTTCCCAGTTAGCCAAATGACTCCCACAGCTAACACAAACTGTGAACAAGGTACCACAACAACAAGGCTTCTTAGTGCCATTGTTGATATTCAACAATGTACTCCCTTTAAAAAGAAAAAAAAGATAAGAAAAGATAAGAGAGCCCAAAAAGTGCAACTGCAACCTACAGAACCGTCCTCTCATCTGTCACTTCATCTCTTTATGCTAATTTATCCAACATTTGCTCTTCAGAAAACCAATCAACTGTGTATTTAATTCCTTTAATTGATAGTTTACTGGAAATGAACTCACACTTGAGAGGACACAAACGTGTAGCACCTAAAGGACCTAAAAGATGAGCTCCCTCCCCATTAGCACTGGCTGGGCAGTGCATTGTTGATTGCCAACAATGTACTGTTGGTAGTGGCCTGTAGACGTCTGCATGTTTCCGTAGAGTCAGAGTTTGGGTGTTTGGGTTCTTTTCAGGAAAACTTAAACATTTTTCATACCCAACTCGTACATACAGGTTAGTAATCAGTTCCTTTTCTATGCATAAGATGCAGCTCCGCATCTTACAGACTATTTTTATGTTAACTAATGTTAATGGCATTTATGGTTTTATCACCTCTTATTTTTCAGTAACTCTTATACAAACATATACAAAGATCCATTCCTATCCCAGTTCACAGTTTACATGTTACTAACATCTTATTTGTGCAGCCCTTCATTTTAAACATGACAAGACATTTTAGACTACTGACCTAAAAACAAAACGAAATACGTTTCCCTCAGATAAACATTAAGCTAACGGTCAGTAACTACGTCAATGAGGATGCAGATCCATCATGATTACAGTGATAGAAATAAGTTTTTTCCTCTCTATAGCACTAATATTTTATCTGTTTTGTTTTTTATTAACATTTCTTGGTTTAGTTTAATATTATTTTTTTGCTTCACAAAGCAACAGGGTTTCAATTTATGGCTTAAATTAAAAATGATACATAGTGCCATTTTGTTTCACAATCAGTTGTTATAAAATCTGCTGCATATATCCCATATGGCTTTAAAAAGTTTTAACTTCCTACTTTAAAGCGTTGAAATTGGGCCTCTGTCTCTTTAAGAAGCTCCTGCTCTTTCTGTAGTACCATCGTCCCAACATGGCTTCTCTACTAGCCCTTTAACGTTTACCAGCGGTTCACTGGGAAGTAGCTCCTTTAATGAACTCAGCAGTTCCACCAGGTGTTTGCTAATTGCTGCTGGCTAGTCTGAAGGAGCAGAGAGGGGGAGGAGCTTTGTCCTCAAAGGTGGGGCTAACTGAATGGTTGCCAAGGAGATTACAATATTTCTCAAACATGCATGAAAGAATCAAATCAAATTAATGAGGAATTTTAAAAAAATAGATTTTATGTAACAATTCCCCTTTAAAAAACAGAAATTTAATATCCATCCACTCTTTGCATCTTGTTTTTACCACTTCAGCTTGGACTCAAATACTTTTGCATATAAACATCTGAAAAGTGTGCGATTAATTTGTAAGTTAATTAGTGAATAAAGTCCAGCTGGGACTTGGAAGCCAATTTCCAACCAATCGGACCGGAGCTGAAAACATTTACATTCAAAGCTGAATAAAAACACATTTATCACTGTCTGAACTCAAATCAGATCATTTTCGTCTTCAGTCAGGATCACCAGAATTATTTTATATGCAAGAACTTTATTTTTATCATTTTGTTTGTAAAAGTTTATGTATATTTGGTGAGTAACAGAGAAAACAGTATTTCAAACTGACAATTTGAAAATGTTTTCTGGCTTTTGGTGAATAGAAATAATGTTGATAATTTCAATCAAGCAAAAATAAAAAAAACATTTATTCTGATTTAACTTCAGGCAGCAAGAAAAAAAAAGAGTTTGTCTTTTTATTCAAAATATTTAAATATCAGCATGATCTGGAGTTTTACCTGATTTATTGAAAAATATTGAGAGAAAAAAACAAGTATGTGACGATTTGGGAACAATGGTGGGAGATTTCTTTTTTTTTTTTTTCTAAGTTATGTTTCAGATCATCAAGCTAAAGTTTAGGAAGAAAAAAAACCTTTGTGAGAAACTAAAGCTGCTGTGTGTGACATTTTATTTTGAAAAACTACCCTGCTTCCTGCATGTACATAGATGTTCCCAACTTATTTGAATCAAAGTTAATAATTTTAGGCGTAACTTTACATGAATTGTGGTAATTGAAGGTTTAGTAAAGTTTAATTTATGTCAAACAGAAAACATTAAAATGATGGAAAATTGTCTGGAAGGAAAAAGTCACTGAAATCTCTTCAAGCTGAAATGCCACACAAACCCTCTCAAGTTGCACATCATGTGTGGGTTGGTGTTTTTTTTATTTAAAATTGAACTTAATTATTGTCAAATATGGTGAAATTGCATCCAAATCATTTAAATCTTTTTTCTGGTATAACTGCATGACAGATCAGTTCTGCTTCTGAACATTTTCTTCTTTTTTCCTCCAATTTGACTTTCAAACCAATGTTACACTATCAAGCTTTTCATTTCCCTTTTTCTTACCCATAATCCTCCTCTCCTGTGCTATTTAATCTGAGGATTTAACTTCTGATTTTATTTTAATCTTTATTGCAACAGATTTCTGTTCGGTTGACTTTGAACAGGTAAAGAAGACGGGAAGTCGTGTCAGAAAGTGACGGTGAGGATGACGATCAGGAAGAACGACTGCCGCAGCAACCGGCCGGTGAGGATCTGCTGCTATAGCTAACTGGCGCTAACCGGCTAACAGATACTAACCGGCTGCGCTAACTGGTGCTAACCGGCTAACAGGCGCTAACCGGCGCTAACGGCTAACAGGCGCTAACGGCTAACAGGCGCTAACTGGCTAACAGGCACTAACAGGCTAACAGATACTAACCGGCTAACAGGCGCTAACCGGCGCTAACGGCTAACAGGCGCTAACAGGCTAACACTATGTTCACGCAGGAAATACGACCAAAAATTACTTTTTCATTCCATCCATCCATCCATCCATTCTTCTTTCGTTCTTGGGACTCAAGTTTTTATTTAGTCCAAATAACAAAAATGTTTTCAGTTTTTGTTATTTCGTTTGTTTTAGTTTACTGTAAATATCTACTCAGATTTAAATAATTTTCTGTATCCATGCCGACGTCTCCGCCCGCTTCCTGCAGGTGAACATCGTGTCCTGCGACGGAAAATGTCCCTCCGCCAGCATCTACAACTACAACATCAACACCTACGCTCGCTTCTGCAAGTGCTGCAGGGAGACGGGGCTGCAGCGGCGCTCCGTGCAGCTCTACTGCAGCAGCAACGCAACCTGGGTCAGCTACAGCATCCAGGAGCCCACCGACTGCTCCTGCCAGTGGTCCTAGGCACAAACACTCACCTTCTGCAGCCCAGGCCTCACCTGGACCAGGAGTGTGAGGCCTGCAGGTGCTCATGGAGAGGACAGCTTGGCGTTGGGACTGTGAATAACACCACTGCGAGGTGCTGGGAGGAGGCTGGTCTCAGTAAGTATGTGTAGTACCTCTGCTGGCAGGGAGGTGGAGCTGTGGAGCAGAGAAGCAGATGCAACCAGGATCCACACAATAATAGCACTGATGTAGCCACTATTTGTCCTAAAGTCAAAAAACGTAAGATTTAAAGCAAAATCCAAATCAAATAGTCACCTGATGCACTGTCAGTTTCTGGCTTACTGAGAACAGAAAGATAAAAAAAAGGTCAAAAATTCAGTTATTTGTTTCTTTATTCCACATTCAGGCGTCACAGGATTCTGCTGCTTCTCCTCTGATTCCTGCACCTGTTCTGTGACTGACTGGCTGAAACATTGACCCCCCACAGCATCATGAGCTAAAACCTACATATTCATACCAGGAAAAACGTCACAAACTGAAATTAATTAACCAGTTAAGTGAATTACGAGCCATAGACTTACTCTAAATAACAAAAATTTTAAAAAAAAAATCAAATTTTAAATCAACTGGAATATAAGCAAATAAAAATAAACTAAATAATCAAAATTCTAAGATTAACTGAAAATAGAGAAATAACTCCAACTGATATTCTCAATTTCATGGAATTATTTCATTGTGACCAGTTAAAACTTATTAAATCTTCACTTTCTGTCGGTTTTCAAATAACCAATTTTGCTGGTGGAACTAAAACACAGAGATATTTAAATATCTGATTAATATCTTGTTGGTTCCTGTTGCGTTGCTCTGTTCCCACCTCTCTGACGTGCCAATTAGGAAAATCTTTAAAGAGCATCCTGCCATCTCTGTCTCTGATAGTTTCATAAGAACTGTGAGAAAAGAGGCGTTTTTGTTCCTCCCAGCTCAGATTTGACCATCTTTCATTTTTTATTTGACCCAAAATGTTGCCTGTTGTCTTTTGTAAATAACTAATTTTAAGTGCTCTTGAAATCCTTTGCAGTGCATAAACTAGATTTCTCTCTCTCTCTCTTTTAGAAAGGTTGGCATAAAATGTATATTCTGTGATGTGGATTTTATTTTCTGTAATCATCATTAACTGACTGAAATCCAGCTGTTTGTGGAGCACTTTATTTATTTATTGGAGTTTGCTAGAACGCAGAAGTTCTGTCCTGTAAGACACATTCGACCCAAAAGGAGAAGAAACAGCAAGATTTGTTTTTTAAATGTTTGTGACCAACAGATTCCTGGATAGTTTTAAGTTAAAGAGGATTTGTATCATACAGATGTACATTTGACTTTTCAATAAATCTTTTGGACACTCAGTATTTGTGTTGTGATTATTCTGCAGTTTATGGAGGAATAAGTCGGAACAAAATGTGAAATACCTTAAATGGACTTAATGACTAATCATAGTTTGTCTAAATCTGAAATATGTTTCAGATGATCAGTATTAACTACAGATATCTTGAATTAAAGGTTCCATCCAACTCAATGGTAGATCTTACATCATTAAAATCAGTCAGAATGTAATTTGAGATATAATTTCCTAAGATGTCTAGTTATAAACTATGATGGAGTTTTACAGCCACGCTAAAAAACTAGACAAAAAGAAATTATGAGAACAAATTTGTACAAGAATGTCATAATGTCAGGCCAGTTATAACATTTGGAAAATAAAGGGATAGTATTAGAGGAATAAAGTTGTAATATTCCTTTATTATTGCAATTCTACAACTTTATTCCTTAATTTTATGATGTATTCTCATGTTATCCTTTATTTCAAATAGTATTACTTCATTTTCATATTATTTCAACTCTTCCTAATTTTATGACTGTATTCTTGTAACATGACTTTATCCCAGTAATCTTGTGACCGTAACATTACGACTTTATTCTTGTAATTTTATGACTTAATTCCCACAATACTATTACTTTATTCTTGTTGAATTTTTTTTATTTCTTGACGTGGCCCTAAAATACATATATTTCAGATAATCTGGAGAGTTAACTTTGGCGAAACCCATTTTATGTTCAAACGGCTTGCCATACAGCAGCAGTTTAAAGATGGCGCCGCTTCCGTCCTGGTCTCAGACCGACCCGCTGCCCGAACCGACCAGACGTGCGCACACAGTGATCATCTGACCCGAACGGATGCCATGAAGTTCGCAGTGACACAGCTGCTGCTTTAACGGCTGACAACTGAGCCGTTTGGACCGCGGCCCGAACCAGGCACTTTGACGTCAGCAGCCATGAAGCTCCATGCTGAGTGACGCCACGGCAACATCTGCAGCAACAAAACAAATGTGAAGCCCAAGGGGGCTCTTACAGGCATTAAGATCCGAATCAGACTGGTTCCACTGTGACTGGGTCGCCCCTTCGTTCTGGTGCTGCTGGGATTTCTGGATGAAGTCATAATCTTTTTTTAATGCTGAGCAACAAACCAGCGATTGGCACCCGTTGCGTCCGGCGTTACGCAGATTGTTTCCGCGTGATTACTAAACTGATCAGTCGCTCAAGTCATTGTGGAGGAATTTGGAGCATCTGGACTTTGACTGGACCAATGTTGAGATAAACAATTTCTCAATTGTGATGGTTATGTTAAATAAGAAATGTAATTAAAATAAGAGGTGAAATGAGTTTGTTCATGTGATAAATCATTAAAAACATGGAAATCCTCCAATTACTTCCTGTTGTTTTCTTCTTTGTGGTTTTTTCCAGTGGCAACATCCGGTTGTTGATCATGTGACTCCTGTGATACAGAAAAAGGTTTTCGTTTCAGTTTTGCGAAATAAACAAATTTTGATGAGTATGGAAACACTTGATGCATTTATTTGCACAATTTGACATTTAGAAAAAAATTCACTCAGAAACAACAATTTAGAAAAACCATTTAAATTTTTCTTTTTTTGCAGCCGTACCAAAATTGGTTTATTTCGCAAAACTGCAATAGATACTCCTTTTTTTGCATCACACTGGTCGTACAATCAAGAACAGTAGAAAATACAGGTCCATCTAAAAATTTAACATCCTAACAAGTTTCAATATTCTTTGTCACTTGTTTCTTAAAATAAAACTCATACATAGATTAAAATATAGTAAAATATTTCATACTTTTATTTCTTGTAATGTTGACGATTATCTAATGAGAACTGACAATTTAATGGATGGAAAAAGTCTGGTATCTTGCAAAAGGAGCCCCAACCAACTATTGAGTCCATTAAAATAAGCATTTCAGAAGCATGACACTATTGTTCAAAAATATCTGATATTTAATTTTCTAGTTTCTCATATTTTTCAGATCCAACCAACATGAGACGGTTTAGAAAGTCATTATGTTTAAATGAATGAAGGAAAAACAGAGATGTTTAGAAAATAACCTCACTCTGGTTTCTGTTTGAATAATTCTGAAAACTGAGATCCTGTAAATATTTTGGGATTTGTGTCATCAGCGCAGAGATTTCCATTAATACCGGTCGCATTCTGAAAACTCGGTAAACCGAGCCAGTGAGAAATGCCCGGTGGGTTCAGGCTCTCAGTGACTTCAGTGGAAACCAGCTGTCAGTTTGATGAGCCTGGAGCAGCTGCAGGAACACACACACACACACACACCCACAAAGGCACACACACACACACACACACACACACCCGCGCTCTCGGCTGGTGGGAGCGAGTGGGTCTGATTTAGCTATTCTGGACTCTAAAAACTGTTCTCAGACTCGCACTTTACTCAAACATTTCTAGAAAGTTTCTATCATGTAAAATCAACTTTTTTTAGCTTTATTTTTAATTATGTTTTAATGTTTTTCTCTCATCAAAAACCTGCTTTGATTCTTTCATTTATGTTTGAGAAACCCTTTAATCTCCATGGCAGCCATCCAGCTGTAAAACGGCTGGGTGGACCAAGCTCAGCCTTCAAGTCGCAGCTCCTCCGCCACTCAGCTCCTTCAAGACTAGCTGGCAATTAGCAAACACCTGGTGTAACTGAGAGCTTTTTTAAAGCCATATTTAAGATATATGTATATGGTACTTTTCCATCAATAATAAGAAAATTATTGACGTAAAACAATCTCCTATGTGCTGCTGAAAACTTACTCAAAAGTTAGTTGTTTACATTAAGTGTTTTAAGCTATTTGTACAAGAAACTAGACAAAAACACTTGTTGAGACTTTGTGTTTTGCAGTGGGCTGCACCAAAATACACATTTATTTAGATTATGTTAGGTATATTTATTTGTGGTCCCATTGCAATATCGTTTTGTAAAATTTGGTTCAAACTCTGAATTTCGTCTGGGATAATTCCTTCAAACATTTGAAAAAACATGCGAGAAAATTGAACTTTGAAAAATTTTTTGAATTTCTTGTCTTGTACCGATGAGTTTTTTCCTTCACTTCAAATGGTTTCAGACAGATAAAGTTGCAGCATGGAAGCGAATAGCTCACACCCGAAACGTCTTGCAGCTTCATGGGGAGGCTTTCCGTTAAATTAGCAGCTCATGAAATGTAAGACAGCGTACCCTTCTGGAAGAGGGCGAGCTGCGGTATCATTTCAGCAGATCTGCAAAGCTCTCTCAAACTTTGCTGCAACTGCAAACATGAATGCAGGCAAGAAAAAAGACGAACTTTTTTAACATCATTATGCACATGATTATTATGGGTTATAATAATTATATTATATTTAATGCATTTATAACATGGGGAAATATATTACAAGTGAACTAATCTGCCAGTACTTAGTACATTTTCATCAATATTAAGGAATATTCTTGCTGAAAAGTTACTTGTAAATTTGTTTGTGTAATAAGATATTTTTGGTTTTGCAGTATGAAGTGCTTGAGTGCATTAGCTGGTTGCTTATGTTAGCTCATGATGTGTTTCTAAGAACATCATTGTAACTTCTTAACAATGCTTAAAATTAATCTGAGGTAAAGGGAGTTAATTTTTTAGATAGTAACTGGATAAAGTAAAAGCTAAACAAAAATTTATTCAATTCCAATAATTCTTCTGCTCTTAACCAATCAGAAAAAATATTTTTGATTAGTTTCAAGTCAACTCGTTAG